TCAGTGACAACAGTAGCAAGGAGACGCGTGACAGTAGGACTGGCAGCACGAAGAGAGTCCGACTCCAGGTCAGGAAGAGCAGGAAGAGAGGACTCAGGAGGAGAAGGCAAAGGGGCACGCAGAGGAGTAGTGGACGGACGCAGAGACATCCGGTGCGTGCCAGGGACAGGAGGAGGACGCTGACGCGAACCACGACCACTAGTGCGAGCAGCACGGACAGGCGACGCAGGGCGAGACGCAGGCTCACGACGCTCAGCAAGACCTCCAGTAGGACCAGTGTAGGGAGAAGGAGCAGGCAGTGGGGAGGCGGGCTGTAACTGTAACTGTGACTGGACAAGCTGTGGACACTCGAAGGGAGGAGGAGGACCGGGGGAAGGCGGGAGACCAAGAACCTGCTGAAGGAGCGGAACGAAGTACGGCCGGTGTCGGGCAGCGACTCCAGAACCAGCAGAGACACCAGCACCAGGGTCCTCAGCAACAGCAGCAGCTCCAACTCCCGGGTCCTCAGCACCAGCAGCAGCTCCAACGCCCGACTCCACAGCACCAGCAGCAGCACCAGCGCCAGGGTCCTCAGAACCAGCAGTAGCTCCAACGCCCGGGTCCGCAGTACCAGCAGCAGCTCCAACGCCCGGGTCCTCAGCACCAGCAGCAGCTCCTACGCCCGGGTCCTCAGCACCAGCAGCAGCTCCAACGGCAGCAGCGGGGTCCGCGACACCAAGCGCCCCACTCCGAAGAGTGCAGCGGCGCACGTACCACTCACGGATCCGCTCACGGGAGGGGAGCTCCCGGCTAGGAGGAGAAGCACTAGCACCAGTCCGAGTAGTACGCCTGGCCCCAGAGGTACCTCTCCTGAGGCTGCAGTACTGTAAGTACCACTCACGCAGCTGCTCCGAGGAGAGGGCTCCTCCAGGTGTAGGACTCTCAGGCTCAGGACCTCCAGACTCAGAACCCCCAGACTCCGGACTCTGCGGCTCAGCACCCCCAAGCTCAGCACCCCCAGGCTCAGTACCCCCAAGCTCCGCACCCCCAGGCTCAGCACCCCCAGGCTCAGTACCCCCAAGCTCCGCACCCCCAGGCTCAGCACCCCCAGGCTACGCACCCCCAGGCTCCGCACCCCCAGGCTCAGCACCCGCAGCAGGACGAGAGTCGACAGCTACCTCAACAGGCTCAACCGGGTCTACCTGAGACACACCTGAGGGAGCGGCACCCTGAGGGGGGAGGGGGTCTACGACAGCAGCACCTGGCGCGAGGAAGAGAGGCGGGGGGGGGAGCGGGGCAGTGCGGTAGGGGAAGATGCGGTAGGGGAAGAGGCGGTAGTAGGGGACGGACTCGTCAAAAGTGACGTCCTGAGAGGGCAAGACTCGGCGCGAGGTGGCGTGGTAAAACTGCCAACCAGGCGCGTCCGGGACAAAGCCGAGGAAGACGCAGGGAACAGCACGGGAGGAGAGCTTGTCCGCAGACGTATCGCGGACAAAAGCTCGAGATCCCCAGACCCGGAAACGCGACGCATCGCCAACCTCCCCCGTCCACAGCAGTGTGGGCGAGGTCTCCGGCAAGGAGACACGGGGCCAGAGGTTGAGCTGATGCGCAGCGTACCGGACCGCAAACGGCCACAGAAAGTGGGGGGCAGCCGCATGGATCAAGGAGGTACGGGCGACCTCCATGACCAGGCCAATGCGGCGCTCTGCAACCCCATTCTGCTGTGGAGAGGCCGGAAGCGTGAACGACTGCTCAATGCCGTGCTCAGCACAGTATGCTGCCAAGAGGTCGGAGGAGAACTCACCACCTCTGTCAGAGTGCAAGCGCAGGACAGGAAAGTCCGAGTGAAAACGCTCGCTGAGCTGGAGACGGGCTCTGCGGATCCAAGGGATCAAGACATCAGGGACCTCACCCTTGGTGCGCAAGGGGAAGACCGTGGTGTAGCGCGAGTAGTCGTCAACAACTATCAGGAAGTACCTCTCCTGACCCTGACCACGGACGCGGGCTGGGCCCCACACGTCCATGTGGAGCGTCTGCAAGGGAGCAGTAGTCGGGGGAAACGAGGAGGAGTGAGGAGCGGCGCGCTGCCGCCCCTCGACACGCTGCCGCCGCGTCCACTGCCACCCCCACCACCGCCTCCGCCCCTGCCACCTCCCCCGCCGCTGCCGCCACCACCCCCACCGCTGCCACTAGCCCCTCCAGTCGCGCCACCACCCCCACCACCGCCACCGCCCCCACCACCGCCTCCCCCGCTGTCACCGCCACCGCCCTTGCCCCCTTTGCCCTTGCCGCTGCGGCGCCCGCTCAAAGCAGACGCAGTCACGACCTTCTCAGCACCAAGGAGGTCGACAGCAGCAGCAGAGGCGACAGAGGGAAGAAGGGGGGAAGGAGAACACCCCTCAAAGAACGGGGTACGGGGGTCGCCACGAGAGGCACCTACAGCGACTATGCTAGCCTCAGCTGCAAGGAGTTCCTTCTCGAGGAGGGCAATGGTGAGCTCAGTGGGGCAGCGAGCTAGGAAGTGGTCCCTGACTGAGCGCAGAGTGTCAGGGAGGCGGGTGACTAGGTGGTAGAGAGTGAGCCAGAGCGGGGGTGGGTTCTTGGCTAGGAACTCATCAGGCATGGCGGCGCGGAAGCGAGCTTCACTAGTGCGGAGGTGCGTAATGAGGTCAGCGACTGTGTGGAAAGAGGCTAAGTCGGGGAACAGGTAGGGAAGAGAGAGACGGCCTAGTGCGGCAGAGGCCGGTGAGGAGTAGCGGGCAACGACAGCAGTGTACAGTGCCTGTGCAGTCTTGTGCTGCCCAAAGTGCTCGCGCTCATCTATCGGCAGGGAGTTGCGAATAGCGAAGCGAGCGTGGGCGTCACGAGTCTGCCACTGTGAGCGGGTGGTGCTGTCAGCAGTAGCAGCAGGAGTAGTAGCATGGCCTAGGGCGTGATCGTACAGTGAGATGTCCTCCTTGGCAGTGAGCTGTAGGAAGAGGTGTAGGTCATCTAGCCAGGTTTCGAACCTCACTGGGCGGCCCTCAGTATCGAAAGCTAGCACAGGAGGGCTAGCCATAGCAGTAGTAGGAGTAACAGTAGAGTAGCAGTAATAGCAGTAGGTGCACCCCAGAAACAGTAGGCAGTGCGACTCAGGTAGGGCGGCTCCGTCCAGTACGGGCGGCGCGGCTCGGTTCAGGTAGGGCGGCGCGGCTCGGTTCGGGCTGGGCGGCTCGGTTCGGGCGGCTCGGTTCGGGCTGGGCGGCTCGGTTCGGGCTGGGCGGCTCGGTTCGTGCGGCTCGTTCTGGCGGGGCCGTTCAGGGCCTCTAGGGGCGAGCGCGGGGCCGTTCGAGGCCTCTAGGGGCGAGCGCGGGGCCGTAAGGGGCCGCTAAAGGCGAGCGCGGGGCCGTTCGGGGCTTGTAGGGGCGAGCGCGAGGCCGTAAGGGGCCGCTAAGGGCGAGCGCGGGGCCGACGGGGGGCCTCTAGGGAGGTGAGCGCAAGGCCGACGGGGCCGTTAGGGGCGATCGCGGGGCCGACGGGGTCGCTAAGGGGCTAGCGCGTGGGCCGACGGGGCCTTAAGGGGCGGCGCGTAGGTCGCTAAGGGGCGGGTCGCGGGGCCTTAGTGGGCCGTGAAGCACGAGGCGCCCTAGGGCGTAGTAGGTAGGTAGGTAGGTAGGTAGTGGTGGGCCCTAAAAACGGTCCTAGTGAAGGACCTGCTCTGATACCATGTTGAGATGAACAAACAGGAATGGTGGAACTAACAGTGAAATGAGTACAAGTACCTAACCCTAGAATTGTGTACCCCCTATAGACTAACCCACTGTAGCCTAAACAAGCACAACATATATAATGTTTGACACATAGGTCAACGGCGCTCGCGAATGAAGAGCGGCCGCTGCACTTCCTGCACATGTGCGGATCCTTCCGCGTTTTGGGGCTGGAAGCGCTCATTCCGTGTTACGAGGTTGCGCTTGTCTGGGCCTACGATGTACAGGTCGTCCTTCACCTGGTACGTCGACAGGATGAAGTGTCATGCTTGATGACCGGCGTTCAGTCGCTCTCAACAGGACCTGAGCGCGCTTGCTGCACCACCGGCGAGCAGCACCTGTTGCATTCCATGTGGTTGGCAAGACTTGAGCGCCCAAACTCTGCCTGGTACGCTCATTATAGATGCCCATACTGACCATCTTGCCCAACGCATCAATTTGATTGGCGTTGGATGCTATTTTTTTCTTGCTGGTCCACTAGATTATACTACATCGACATATAGCTGCATATAGTGTTCCATGCCAGCGACAATGTACTCCAGTATTGAACGATTTATCCTAAAGAGGTCTCTAAAAGTCGCTGTCTCCCATGCCATGCAGGTCCTCGAGCAACAGCTGGTACCGACGAGCGCGCAGACTTTCCCTTCTCTTCGCTCGGTCGACCTACTGGAGCCGTGTGAGGTAGGTGGCGACGAGATGTCATCGGAGAAGACATTGGCTTCCAGCAAGCCGCCGACCGCCCTAGCGACCACGTCCATGAAAATAGAGTAGTAGAAAGAACGTGATCCATGCGACTAGCAATCGCATGAGGAAAGGCACAGCACCAGGCCCTGCCATAGTTGCAACTGCAGTGAGCAGTGCAGTTTGTATGTGATGCTTGCTGTTTGTACTTGTGAACACCCCTGTTTTGCACCTGTGTGTGTAGTGCCTATACCAACTCGTGGCGCATCATTTGCAAGTTGCGTCACTTTGACCCGCTTTGCGGGTCCCGCTGCTTCATGCACAGTGTTTTGGCATCTCTGCCTGGCGGCAAAACGTCCAGGCTCGCGTAAAATTCACCCAGCCAGTAAACAGCATCTAACTGTTACCTTTACCTCTCAATCAGTCGCACAATGTCGCGGTACATCAGTTCTTTGTGACGCGAGATTTGGCAAATTTGCAGACGAGACTCGGAAAAAAAGGGGATTGAGACACTTGTGTCCACACAGGAATGTTCCCTGAGTGATCAGGGTGCCTCAAAACCAATCTGAGAACCTGGCCTGGTCCAAAACAAATTTAGGGGCCTGGTCTACAGTGATGTGCGACAGGCGCCGCACATGGGTTGGGTGCAAGCAGCCCATCCGTCACACAGCGTGCATCGTCGAATTCAAACACCACGCCGTTGCTGTCAGCAAAGCTGTGCGTTGTGTGGTCCACCACCTGGGGTTCATGGGGGTGCAAGGGAGTGCAGGGGGGAGCAAGGGGGTGCAGGGTAGTGCAAGTGGGTACAGGGGATGGCGAACAGACAGTTGCAGAAAACATGTGCCATGTGAAGGTTAGGCTGGGAGACACACAAGGGGCACACACATGGAGCAAGGGCAGGGCCATGCGTGTGTGTGTGAATGGTGCGAGGGGTGGGAGACGGAGAACAGCAGATGCATGAACGAGGTGTCTACACTAACCCTTCCACACTCTCCACCACCCCTCGCCACTCCCACACCACCCCCTTCCCCGCACACGTTGGTGTCATGCAGTTCGAGGTTGAAAAAGTCCATGGCGGGCGCGGTGAAGAGCGGGCCAGCATGCCACGTGCCGGCACTAACCCCCCCTGGCTCCCCCACCACCCCTTCACCCCCCTTCCCCCCCCTTCACCCCCCTTCACCCCCCCCTTCCATCCCCCTTCCCCGCGCACGTTGGTGTCATGCAGTTTGAGGTTAAAGAAAGTCCATGGCGGGCTGTGTGAAGAGCGGCCCCGCGTGCCACGTGCCGGCGTGCAGCTTCACCACCACCCCTCTCCCCCTATCCCCCCCCTTACACCCCCCTTCACCCCCCTTCACCCCCCTTCACCCCCCTTCCCCCCACTTCAGCACGCACGTTGGTGTCACGGAGCTCGAGGTTGAAGAAGTCCATGCACGGCGCCGTGAAGAGCGGCCCCGCATGCCATGCCACGTGGCGGCATGCAGCTTCACCACCACCGCTCTCCCCCTTCACCCCCCTTCACCCCCCTTCACCCCCCTTCACCCCCCTTCACCCCCCTTCACCCCCCCCCTCCCCCCCTCCCCCGCGCACATTGGTATCATACAGTTCGAGGTTGAAAAAGTCCATGCAGGGTTGGGTGAAGAGCGGCCCCGCGTGCCACGTGCCGGCATGCAGCTTCACCACCACAGCGCCCTCCATGCGGAACACCCTCACCGCCCCCACCTCTGGCACGCGGTACCTCTGCCCCGCCGCCCCTTGCTTCACCGCCCTGCTGCCGGCAACGCGAGGGAGGAGGGGAGGGAGGCAGGGGGAGAGAGACAGAGGCACGGCGCATGAGAGGGAGGCGAGGGCGAGGAGGGGCAAGGAATGAGCGATGGCGTGGCGTGTGTACAAGGGGGCGAGCACGGTGGGAAGCGTGGGGGTTGGGGAAGGGAGGGAGGGGGGGAAGTGAAGGACGGCGAGCATGCGGTGGCGGCAATCCCAAGGGGGCAGAGAGGAACGGCAGAGCTGACACACACGCAGCCAGCACACACACTGGACCTCCACATGCCTCTTCCTCCATGCCTCTCCCTCCATGCCATGCCTCTCACCACCTCTGCTCGCACTGCAACACCCCTCGCACTCCCCACCACCCACCACTGCACCCTCTTGCCCGCCCCACTTACCCATCAGCGCCACCATCACCATCCTCCCCATCAACGACGGAGGGCGGCGCCACGCCCAGGAACCACGGGTGCCCGCCCACGGCGCCCAGGCACTGCGTCACGCGCGCGTGGTGCGTGATGCTCTCAAACCCCAGCTTCCGATCCCTCAGCCGCATTATGTACACCCTGGGGGGGACGGGTGAGGGGGAAAGGGAGGCAGGAGGGGCGGGAGGCGGGTAGCTACATTGTGCGCATTGTGAGAAGAATCGTGGTTGGCACATGGCCAAGGCGAGAGCATGCGAGGAGGAGCGGATGGCGGCTAACAGTGCAGCTGGCCATCCGAACGGCGCATGGCAGACAGGGCGGTTAGCGGCCCTCGCCACAGGCGCTCACGCCACCACGCAGCACGGCGCACACCCTCACCCTCACCCTCAGCCTCACCCTCCCACTGCATGATGCATAATGCGCGCTCAACGGGACGCGCACCGCATCGCCCACCCCCTCTCCCCCGCTTTCCCCCCTCCCTTTAGGCCTCAACTTTACCCATAAATCACATCCACGCATCCACCCCTCTCCCCTCCCCACTCGGCTCCTCATCCGTCCCACTTCCCCCCTTCCCCGCGCCCACCTGGGCGCGCCCTGCGACAGGTCGAGGGCGGCGTCCGCCGCGCCGAACGCGACGCCGTCCTCCGCGGGCTCCACCACCTCGCCGAACGGCGCGAACGCCTCGCGGGTCAGCGGGATCGCCTCTAGCTTGATGACACGTGGCCTGCTGCCCGCGTCAGGCGGTGATTGCGACGCCGTCGCCATACCCTCGCCAGCAGAACAGCGGGAGGAGCGTGAAGTGTGGCAAGGCGCGGAGTGTAGCGCGGGCGTGGGGGAGCGCGAGAGGCGGAGGGAGGAGCGAAGTTCGAGAGGCGGGAGAGAAGGGAGAAGGGGCGCCGTGCGAGAGGGGGAGTGGGAGGCGGAGAGCGGAGCGGATAGCCGGGCGAGCGGCGCGGAGAACGGGAGAGTTGAAGCGGGCATGGCCACACGCGACGGGGGGGGGAGGGGGAGAGGCACAACGGGACACGCGTAAAGCGCACGGCTGTTGGAGGCGAAAGGAAGGCCGAGAGCACGCGGTGCGTAGGGATGGAGCCTGTCGCGGCAATGTGAATTGCGACCTGAAATTGCCTCAAAAGCAGATTTGCGTGGGGCAGCTGGTGGGATAAAATTGTGATTGGGATCGCTTGTTAGTTGCCTTTTTTTCCGCCGGACAAAGTAACGCAGATTCGGCAGGAATTATCTTACGATGAATTTGGATGCAAAGCAGCCCATAAAAATGTCGTCATAGTTTCACACAGCCTAACTGCTTTGCTTTGCTACAACAGCCTCTAAAAAATCCTACACCGGAAAAAATAAGAAACAAATATCAGCTGCACAGCTCTTCCTACACTCTACCCCCATGAGCAAGCACAGGGCTCTTCCTATATAAATATCAACAAAGCGTTGTGTTGTGAATCAGTGGAGTGCGGGTGTAGTACGCACGCGAGCCTCGTGGGCAGTGTCTGAGGCTGGGAAGTGTGTGGCACGCAGGGCGCATGGCAGGGGGGTCACCAGCGGACCTGCTTGGACGATGACGATCTGCTGCTGCGCGAGCCCGCCTCACCCGCCCTCTCCGAGTCCCCTGCCGCCTTGGATGATGACTCCCTGGACCCCCCACTGCCCCCCCGCCTGCTGCTGCTGCCCGTGGCCGGGCGGCTGGGGGACGGCGAGCTCCTGTGGCTAGGTTTCTTCACCGACTCCAGCACCTTCCTGGAAGCACCACACATGGGCAGGGCAGGCGGGTGGAGAGGGCGGGTGAGCTGTGGGCATGCTGATGCACAGAGTGACACAGGCACAGTGAGTGGCAGCACCAACTACAAACTGGGAAGGAACCAGGATTGAGTGCCTGTGAAGTGAACCTGCTCTCCCGCACTCCACAGCAGGCAGACAGGCACCGCCATACACCCACACCCCGCGAGCCAGCGAGGGCACTCACATGATGCGCGCATTGGTGGTGGGATCGAACTTGCCAGCGCCATCCCCCCCGTCCAGCGCGGCCTTGTCCTTCTGCTCGAGAATGAGCTCCACGAGCTGCCACAGGCGCTTGTTCTCCGTCTCCAGCTCCGCCACCTGCTCCCGAGCCGCCTCCGCTGCGTGCGCCGCCTCCTTGGCCTCGTCCACCGCCAGCGTCCACGTGCCCAGCGCCGCCTCCATCTCCGCCGCCATCAGGTCGCGCTCCGCCCGCGCGTCCCGCACCGCCTCCTCCGCTGCCGCCACCGCCAGCGACTTGCGGTCCAGCTCGTCTGCCCGGGGGGGGGAAGAGGGGGGGGGGGGGGGGGGGGGGGGGGGGGGTTTGGGGGACATGCGAGGGAGGAAGAGGGTGTGGAAGGGTGCCTTTGGGAGCTGAGATTCTGGGAATGGCGTAAGGGTGCCGGGGATTGGGACGGCTGTGGGAAACGGGAGTGGGGGAGGTGGAAGTGACTGAGAGTGAGAGGATGGAGGGGAATGGGGGGGTTGCAGGAGAGTGCGGATGGAGGAAAGTGGGGGAGTGGAAATTGGTCAAAGTGGAGGTGAGTGGTGAGGTGGACAGTGGGAGGTCGAGGAGTGAGCATGCAGGGGAGTGGGCAGGAGGAAGGGGGTGCTGACGGGATAAATGGATACAGCACAATGGCGTGGGAAAGGAGAGGGTGTGGGGAAGGAGAGGGTGCGGGGACGGAGAGGGTTTGCGGAGGGAGAGGGTGTGGGAAGGAGAGGGGGAAGAAGAGGGTGTGGGGAAGGAGACGGTGTGGGGAAGAAGAGGATGTGGGGAAGGGAGGGTGTGGGGAAAGAGAGGGTGTGGGAGGGAGAGGGTGTGGGAAGGAGAGGGTGCGGGAAGGAGAGGGTGTGGGAAGGAGAGGGTGCGGGAAGGAGAGGGTGTAGGGAAGGACTTAGTAGAGGGTGAAGAAGGGGAGGGCGCGGGAAGGCGAGAAAGAGCAGTGCAGCCCGCACGAATCCAGCAGCTGCTATCCGGCAAGGCAGGTGCGACATGAATTCGCGCTGGCAGCGCTCATTCCGCAATCCGCGGGCGAGAGCGCATCAAACATGCACTCTGAGACGCACCCATGCAGCACAGCCACAGCCACGCCCCATGCTCTGCCCCATCCGTGCTCTGCCCCATCCGTGCTCTGTCAGGTCTGCAACGCATCTCACCTAGAAGGTCCTGATTCGCAGCTTGAAACTCCGCGAGTTGTCGTCGAAGCGCTGTAACCTCCTTCGCCAGCGATCGCTTCTCGCTTTTGCTCGATCCGTCTGCGCTCTCCGTCTCCGAGCCGCCCCCACTGGATCGCGACACGGGCTTCCCCCCCGACCACTCCTGATTCAACGAATAGCTCCGGTGCTTCTGCCACGACCCTCGCGCCTCCCCACTGCCGCCGCCGCCGCTGCCGCTGCCGCTGCCGCTACCGCTGCCGCTGCCGCTACCACTGCTGCTGGTGCGGCCGCCGCTGCTGCTGCTGCCGTGGCGACGGCGTCGCTCGCGTCCCTCCTTTTGCGGCTCCCCGCCGCCCTCCTCCTTGGCGCCGCCGATCAGCAGCCGCACCGCCAGCCGCCGCGCCGCCTCCGTCTCGCCGGACGAGCTGTGCGACGTGAACGACGTGGACCGCCCGAACGTGACTTGCGGCGGACCCGCCTCCGCCTCCAGGTCGACGACCTCGTCGGCGAAACGCACCGACGGCGTGGTGGTAACCAGCTTGTCGAGCGACGTGCTCATGCAGCGACGCAACTCGTTGATTTCGAATCGCGCCGCTTGATGCCTCACGTCCATGGCGACTATTTCGGTGCTCGCTCGGACGACACAAAGGGATGATGGCGGAGCCAAAAAATATAAAGTTAATAGGCGTCGAGAACAGTAGAGCTAAAACAGTCGATTAACCGAAGCTTCTGAAGCCTGGTTAGTCTCCCGCGATGCTGTTTAGGTCAGACAGCTGACGGGCCGAGGAATGATGTATCGAGCGGACAGCATGGGCATGGAATGGAATGTGCTCGAGATGGACACGGAACAGAGGCAGCCATGGCATTCATAAATTAGATTCGGGCAGGAGGAGGACCAGTGGCGTGGTGGAGGTTGTCGTTGCTGCTTTGGGATTGCCGAGCGGGCAGCCTCGCCCTGTGCACGATGAGGGACGGGCAGCCCTACGAGCGAAGAGCACTGCACAGCCACATATGGCGAGCTCGAATCGAGACTGGGGGGACTGGGCAGGCGGAAATAGCGGTGTGTGGTGGAGTTACCGGAGGATGGCTGGGATGGCCTCGACTCGAGCGAGGCATCATCAGTAGGTTGGTGGGCAACATCACTTTGCCTGTAGTTTTTGCGATCGCTGATTGGTCCGCGATGTTGCAATCCCATCACCCGGACAACACAATCGTCGTCCGTTACAAATGCCAATATTTTCGCTTACAGTGTAGATCTAAATACTGCTGGGAATCTACCCTAAACAACGGAATTCCTTATTGTACACAGCAGGAAGATCCAATAAAATACTAAAACAAGACTGCACTTGATCAACAGGTGGAGCTAAATAAATACTCTACAACAGAGCTTATGCGAGTGCCTTGGTGAAACTACCGACGTGCAGCACGAGGCGCAATGAGCAACAGGGAGGACATCTCCACATCCGTGGGATCGGCTGTGCTCTCGCTGGCGGGATGTGGCGGCGCCACACGGGGGCTGGTCAGGGCGGTGCGGACAGAGGAAGCAACATTCTCCAACGACACCCATGCGGAGGCCAGCGCACTCTTGCCGCCCACCGGTGCATACCCACTGGAGTTGGCCACCCCATCGCCCCCGTCCCCCCGGTCCAAGTCATCCGTGCCAGCGACCCCGGCCGGCGCGGCGAAGAGGTCGGCCTCGAGGTCAAGCTGCGCCTGCATGGTGCGCACCACGTCGCGCATGGAGGGCCGCGCCGACGGGTCCTCCTTCACGCAGTCGCGAGCAATGGTGCCGAGTGCGATGAGCTCCGCCTGGTCGAAGAACCCCCCGAGTGCCGCATCCACCATCAGCGGCATCATCTGCGCATCCTCCAAGAATGGCGCCGCCTGGCATAAGGGGAGGGCGGAATAGGGGAGGCAGGGGTACAGGCGCAGGCAGAGGAGTGGGAGAGCACGAGCAAATAAGTAGGTGCTTATAGCTGTGAACATGAGGTGATTGGTGCATGGTAAGAGTGGTGCGCAGCGCAGGCAGCAGCCATGCATTGAAGCAGCAGCCATGCATTGAAGCAGCAGCCATGCATTGAAGCAGCAGCCATGCATGGGAGGAGGGCAGGACGCACGAGGCTGGTGATGTGGACCTCCTTCATGGCCTTCTGCCCCGTGATCAGCTCCAGCAGCACCACTCCGAACCCATACACATCCACCTTCTCCAACTCGCCCCCCTGCAGCGCACTCTGCCCCTCCTCCCCCCCCTCCCCGCCCTCGCCCCCCTCGCCCTCCGCCACCCCTCCGCTGCGCGTGCGTGCCGGCTTGGAGGGGCGGCGGCGTTTGGAGCCGTCGTCAAACATGGCGGGGGAGCCGCCTCGTGCCAGCCCAAAGTCAGACAGCTAGGGGGGGTGAGGGGAGAAGGGGAGATGGGGAAAAAGGGAGAAGGACAGATGGGCGGTGGGCATGAGGGACAGCAGGAGGAGCGAACGGGAATGATGCTGCTAGCTATGCATGAAGGAATCACACCACCACATGCCACAGCACCGTGCGATATGTGGACGGACCTTGCCGGACATGTCGAAGGTGAGGAGGATGTTGGAGGAGGTGACGGCGCGGTGCACGAGGGGCGGGTGGCAGCAGTGGTGCAGGTAGCTCAGCGCCGACGCCACGTTCGCCGCGATGCGCACGCGCGTGTCCCACGGGATCGGCTCCAGGTCCGGGCCTGTGGCAGGGCGATAGTGTGGGGTGGATGCACGGGCAAGGGTGCATGAGATAAGGCATCAGGGCACGAGACGTTGGGTGGGGGTGAGAGAAAAAGGGATGGGATATGGCTACAAGAGCAGGTATAGACAGAAGAGGAGAAGATGTTGGCAGGCAGGATAAGGGGGAGATTGAGAGGGAAGTGGGGAGAGCGTGGGCAGGCAAGGAATGAGTGTAGGAGGCGGAGGGAGGGGCCATGCGGTTGTGGCAGCAGTGAAAATGGTTCAAGGCCCACCACATGTGACAGCGCTTTTGAAAGCAGTGGGACAGGCAGCAAGGGCCAGAAAACGGAGGGCAATCGGCAGTGGGGGCAAAGAACAGAGGGCAGGGGAGTGGGGGCAGGGGCATGGGGTAGGGGGCTGACGGTGGAGGCGGTCGTAGAGGGAGCCGTTGGGGAGGTACTCGTAGACGAGGATGCGCTCGCCCTTGCCCACACAGAACCCCAGCAGCGCCACCAGGCTGCGGTGCCGCACCCGCGCCAGGAAGTCCGCCTTCGCCTTGAACACGTACTCGCCCAGCTCTGAGAGAGAGGGGGTGGGGGGAAGGGGGGGGGAGGGGGTGTAGTTTTGAGGCGCCTCAAAAGCGCAGCGCCACCAGGCTGCGGTGCCTCACCCTCTCCAGGAAGTCCGCCTTCGCCTTGAACACGTACTCGCCCAGCTCTGTGGGGAGGGGGATGTGGCAGGGGCAATGCGGAAGGGGGGGCGGAGGAGAGGGGTGGTTGCATTGTGAGTGGGCAATGGGCATGTTGAGATGGTCAAGAGACAGCAGCCCTGGCACCTCGTTTAATCCACCCGCCCACTTGCTGCCCATGTCCTTTCAAACCCACTCTCTTCCCCATCTCATCGGCATCTTCCCCCAGCTCATTCACGGCCTGGTGGGCTCACTCTCAGGGTCATGGGCGCGTTTGATGATGGCGCGCGTCTCGATCTGGTCTCTGAGGAAGTCCTCCGCCAGGTAGACCGTGCCGAAGCTGCCCCTCCCGTACACCGTCGTGATTCCGGGTCTCACACTCACTCTCAGGGTCATGTGTGCGTTTGGTGACGCCACAGGTCTCACACTCACTCTCGGGGTCGTGGGCGCGTTTGATGATGGCGCGCGTCTCGATCTGGTCGCGCAGGAAGTCCTCAGCCAGGTACACGGTGCCGAAGCTGCCCCTCCCGTACACCGTGGTGAAGCTGCGCGTCGCCTTCTTGATCTTGCCCAGACTGTACTCCTGCACCGCCACTGCACGCACGCATGGGGGGAGAGGGTGGTGAGCTTATGAGTTGACCCAAGTTACCTTGCCCAGGCTGCACTCCTGCACCGTCAGCGGGGGATGGGAGAGGGGGAAGGGGGCTTTGAGGTTGGCTTGTGAGTGGCGTGAAGAGTTGAGCCGGCTTGGTTGGTTGGTGTGGAATGGCTCAGCTCCCGCAGCAATGCTGGTCGCAAGGAAGAGGGAGGGGGGCGAGCTGGGGAGGCCAGGGGGAGTGAGAAGGTGAGAGAGGCAAGGGAGAGACGCGGAAGGGAGAAGCGGAGGGACACGAATAAGGGTTGAAAGGAGAGCACGTAGAGCGTGGGGTGAGGAGATGCATGGAGCACGAGCAGATGGGCAGTGTGAGAGAGGGAGGGGCAGTGTGAGAGAGGCAGGGGCAGTGTGGGAGAGGGAGGGGCAGTGTGAGAGAGGCAGGGGCAGTGTGGGAGAGGGAGGGGCAGAGTGGGAGCGCGAGGGGCAGAGAGGGAGCGGGAGGGGCAGAGAGGGAGCGGGAGGGGCAGAGTGGGAGCGGGAGGGGCAGAGTGGGAGCGGGAGGGGCAGAGTGGGAGCGGGAGGGGCAGAGTGGGAGCGGGAGGGGCAGAGTGGGAGCGGGAGGGGCAGAGTGGGAGCGGGAGGGGCAGATAGGGAGCGGGAGGAGAGTGGCAGGGGGAGGGGCAGAGTGGCAGGGGAGGGGCACTGACAGTTGTCGGAGCGCGAGGCGTTGTGGGAGTCGGAGCGGTTGGCGAGGAGCACCAAGGCGAAGATGAGCAGCAGCACAAACGTGGCTGACAGCAGCGCTATGAGGAACCCCCTCATCCATGACCATGTGGCTGGGGGGAGAGACAAGAGACATGCGAGTATTAGGTGGGGTGGGGGGAAAGAGGAGTTCGCTGCTTTAAAAAGCAGGGATGGAGTCGCGGCTATCAAGTGGATGGCATGTGGGATATGCATGTGGCATGGGATATGCATGTGGCATGGGACATGCATGTGGCATGGGATATGCATGTGGCATGGGATATGCATGTGGCATGGGATATGCATGTGGCATGGGATATGCATGTGGCATGTGGGATGTGCATGTGGCATGTGGGATGTGCATGTGGCATGTGGGATGTGCATGTGGCATGTGGGATGTGCATGTGGCATGTGGGATGTGTAAGTGGCATGTGGGATATGCATGTGGCATGTGGGATGTGCATGTGGCATGTGGGATGTGCATGTGGCATGTGGGATGTGCATGTGGCATGTGGGATGTGCATGTGGCATGTGGGATATGCATGTGGCATGTGGGATATGCATGTGGCATGTGGGATATGCATGTGGCATGTGGGATGAGTAAGTGGGGCAGTACAACCCTGCCTGTCAGAACCAGTTCCGCTGCCAGCATGGCAGCATGGCAGCATGGCAGCATGGCAGCATGCAGCACTCACATGAGCTTGATGGTGCTGCCTCCTCCTGCTGTGGCTGCTCGGGTGGGGTGGGGGCAGGAGGGGGAAGCTCATCGGGGGCAGGGCAGGGCGACTGCTGGTCCTCCACTCCGTCTAGACAGTTGCCGTTCACCCTGCCATGCCATGCCATACCATGCCATGCCGTGCCATGCCATGCCATGCCGTGCAATGAAACGCCAACAAAGAGAACGAGTAGGTTGAGAGGAATGAGGGCATTTCACTTCAATGCGCGGACGAGCAGCAACAGCACGAAATACTATGCTCGCAGCAGCAGCAGCAGCAGCAGCAGCAGCAATGAGCTTCACGCATCAGCAGGCTAGGCATGCCAGCTGGCAGCGATCCCTTGCGACAATTGTGCAATGTGCAATGTGCAATGCCAGCTGGCACTCACTTGAAGAAGACCTGCACGCCAGCTGGCACAGGCGGCACGGGGCCGGTGAGTCGATTGAAGGAGAGCACTCTGGGAGAGGGTGGTACACAACACAGGGTGAGGGGGATGCAAGGGGAGAGAGGGTGAAGGAACAGAAGAAGGTTGATCTCTGGGTGAGCGATGGTGGAGGGTTACTAAGCAGAGGTGGTGCAGTGCACGGGTGGCAGGAGAAGGGATGGGAGGCGACAGATTGGTGAGTCTAACGGAGGGGAGGAGATGCGCTCACAGGGAGGAGATGCGCTCACAGGGAGGAGATGCGCTCACAGGGAGGAGATGCGCTCACAGGGAGGAGATGCGCTCACAGGGAGGAGATGCGCTCACAGGGAGGAGATGCGCTCACAGGGAGGAGATGCGCTCACAGGGAGGAGATGCGCTCACAGGGAGGAGATGCGCTCACAGGGAGGAGATGCGCTCACAGGGAGGAGATGCGGCGCAGCGAGGTGAGGCAGATGGGGATGGGCCCTTGGAGGCGGTTGAGGGCGAGGTTGACGTCCTTGGCATACTCCAGGTGGCAGAACGTGCCCGGTATGGTCCCTGACAGCTGGTTGTCGTTGAGGTGCAGCACCTCCACTCGCTCCAGCCCCGTGCCCCACTCGTCCGGGATGGGCCCGCTGAGCTGGTTGTTGTCTAGCAGCACCTCCTGCACGTGGACTAGGTTGCCTAGCGAGGGGGGCAGCGGCCCTGAGAAGGAGCAGAACTGCATCGCACTGCGAGGGGGGAGGGGGAGGGGTGGGAAGGGAGGGGGGTGGAGTTGGGGTGGTGGTGTGATGGTGGTGAGGTGAGTGTGGTGGCGTGTGACTTGCCATCTCGTGGGCTGCATTGATTTGCTTAGCTTAGACTCACATTCACCGCACTGACTCACATTGAATCACACTGACTTCATTGACCCTGGTTGACTCACATGGACGCCAGGTTGTCAAAGTCACCAAAGAAGGCGGGGATGGGGCCGCCCAGCCCAGCGTTGTAGCTCACGTCACTGCAGGCCGCATGGCAGCAGGTGAGAGAGATGAAAAAGACACAGTTTGGGGAGTGGTTGTGGACAGAAGGCACAAGGGAAGGGAGCATAGACGTGAGACAGAAAGATGATGATGATGATGATGCGAGGAGAGTGGTTGCTTCTCTTTTAAGGCCGCTTGATGTGAGCTCGTGCATGCACGTGATGTGATGCCGGCACCTTGTGCTTGCACTGCATGCATGCGTGTGTGGCGTGCAGCTCACATGAATGGCAGCTCACATGAATGGCAGCTCACATGAATCGCAGCTCACATGAATGGCAGCTCACATGAATCGCAGCTCACATGAATGGCAGCTCACATGAATGGCAGCTCACATGAATCGCAGCTCACATGAATGGCAGCTCACATGAATCGCAGCTCACATGAATCGCAGCTCACATGAATGGCAGCTCACATGAATCGCAGCTCACATGAATGGCAGCTCACATGAATGGCAGCTCACATGAATGGCAGCTCACATGAATGGCAGCTCACATGAATCGCAGCTCACATGAATGGCAGCTCACATGAATGGCAGCTCACATGAATGGCAGCTCACATGAATGGCAGCTCACATGAATGGCAGCTCACATGAATGGCAGCTCACATGAATGGCAGCTCACATGAATCGCAGCTGAGTGAGAGTGCTGTAGGACGCCGGGATGCTGCCGTCCAGCTTGTTGCTCGACACGTACCTGCCGCCCAGCAACCCATCCATGCACCATTTATTCACCATTCCAGCACACACACGCCATGCCCCACACGCGTGGAATCAGCACAAGGAAATCATGTTAGCATCGAGAGAAAGGGCTGCATGCAGCCAACAGACTGCAGACAGCGACGGGGATGGCATGGCATGTGTGTGCTGGAAAAGGGTGGAAAGAAGGATTAGATCAGCACCGACAGCTCCCTGAGCAGTAAGGAACAGCAGCGAGCAGCAGGGAGCAGCAAGGATGGGATGGGAGCAGCAAGGAGCAGCAGGGAGGGGAGCAGCAGGGATGGGAGGAGGGGCGATGGGAGCAGCAGGGGGGAAGGGAGCAGTAGGGATGGGAGAATCATGGGGGAGGGGAGCGTGACTGACAGCTCTCTGAGGTTGGTGAGGCGGCTGAAGGAGTCTGGCAGCGACCCACGCAGCTCATTCACGTCCAGCGCTCTGCAGGGTGCGGGGAGGGGGAGGAGGGTACAGGGTGGGGCGCACAGCAGGAATGGCAGAGGGGAGGCCGAGGGAAGAGGGTCACAGGTGAGTGGGTGAGGCGGCTGAAGGAGTCCGGCAGCGACCCACGCAGCTCGTTCACGTCCAGCGCTCTGCCAGGTGCAAGGAATGGGTTACAGGGTGGCGCGCACAGCAGGGGAGGCCGAAGGGGGGGCAAGGGGGGGCCAAGGGGCGGGCGAAGGGAGAGAAGCACAGGTGAGTGGGTGAGGTGAGTGACGGGCTGGTGGGCGCAGTGAGAGCGACGTGGACATAGAGTGAAGGGAGCAACAGGGAAGGGAAGAAGGAATGCTCACAAGGTTGCGAGCGTGGTGATGTGGGTGGGGGCGGGGCAGCAAGGCGCTCACAGAGAGGCGAGCGTGGTGGCCTGGGCGAGGTCCTGCGGGATGTAGCCGCCCAGCTTGTTGCCAAACAGCTCCCTGGCGCGGTGGGTGGGGGGACGGTGGGGTACGGCGAGGAGTGGCTGATTAACAAGGGATACGTTGACCAGACGGTTAGGCAGTGCAATGCAGTGCAGAGTGGTATGGTGCAGTGCAGTGCAGTGCAGTGCGAGCAAGGAAAGGCGGGAATGGCAGTGCATTGACAGTGGGAGAGGGGAAGCGCACTCACAGCACAACGATCTTGGACCAGGAGCCAAACCACGAGGGCACCTCGCCTGACAGCTGGTTGGACGACAGGCGCCTGCTCATGCCCGCACACAGGCAGGCAGGCAGGCAGGGGGGAAGGAGAGTGGGGACGGTGGGTGAGTTAGAAACCACGCTACTCATACGGTGACATGCAGTCAGTGTTTCGACAGAAGTGAGCAGTGCAGTCGCAATGAGTAGGGAGCACTCACAGGGGTGGGAGTGAGGGGGGCAATCACAGGGTGGCAGTGAAAGGGGGGCACTCACAGGGAGTGGGGGGGCGAGCACTCACAGGGAGTGGGGGGGCGAGCACTCACAGGGAGTGGGGGGGCGAGCACTCACAGGGAGTGGGGGGGCGAGCACTCACAGGGAGTGGGGGGGCGAGCACTCACAGGGAGTGGGGGGGGCGAGCACTCACAGGGAGTGGGGGGGCGAGCACTCACAGGGAGTGGGGGGGCGAGCACTCACAGGGAGTGGGGGGGGCGAGCACTCACAGGGAGTGGGGGGGCGAGCACTCACAGGGAGTGGGGGGGCGAGCACTCACAGGGAGTGGGGGGGGCGAGCACTCACAGGGAGTGGGGGGGGCGAGCACTCACAGGGAGTGGGGGGGCGAGCACTCACAGGGAGTGGGGGGGCGAGCACTCACAGGGAGTGGGGGGGGCGAGCACTCACAGGGAGTGGGGGGGGCGAGCACTCACAGGGAGTGGGGGGGGCGAGCACTCACAGGGAGTGGGGGGGACGAGCACTCACAGGGTGGCCATCTGAGTCATCCTGCTCCAGTCGCCTGGGATGAGCCCTGTGAACTGGTTCTTGCACAGGTTGCTGCCATGCCACGCCATGCCACGCCACGCCACGCCATGCCACAAGCAGCCAGGAGCGTTTCAGAGGAGAGAGAAGGGGAAAGGTGGGAGCAGATGAGAGGCGTATGAGAGACAGATGTGAGGAAGATGAGAGGCGGAGTCAGAGAAGGTTGCATACATGACTCATGGCATAGCTGGCATGGGTGTCAATCTGGTATGCTATGGCATGGCATGGCACAGTATGGCATGGGTGTCCACCTGGTATGGTATGGTATGGTATGGTATGGTATGGTATGGTATGGTATGGTATGGTATGGTACGGTACGGTACGGTACGGTACGGTACGGTACGGTATGGTATGGTATGGTATGGTATGGTATGGTATGGTATGGTATGGTATGGCATGGCACGGTATGTCATGGCATGGCATGGCACGGTATGGCATGGTATGGCACGGTATGGCATGGTATGGCACGGTATGGCATGGTATGGCACGGTATGGCATGGTATGGCACGGTATGGCATGGTATGGCACGGTATGGCATGACATGGTATGGCATGGCATGGGCATGGCATGGCAGAGCGCAGTGGGGCTGACAGGAGGGTGAGGTTGGAGAGCGAGGAGAGTGATGCTGGCAGCTCGCCCGATAGCTGGTTGCCTGCCACTTGCCTGTTCGCATGCATGCATGCACACATGCACGTGCACAGAGAGAGAGAGGGGCACACACACGACAGAGGGTGTCAACGGATAGGTAATGTGTTCACTGTGGAATGCTATCCACGTGCTGCCATGCACGCTTCTACGGAAGCTACAGGGCCTGCCGAGACAACCCCTTGTGCCTCCACCCCGCCCGCCCTGCCCGCCCCCACCCCCCGTCCCGCGCGGCTCACAGCTGCTTGAGCGCCTGGAGCTGGCTGAAGCCCGCTGGCAGCGTGCCTGATAGCTGGTTGAACGACAGCGACCTGCACACCAGGCGTGGGGGGGGGGGGGGAAGGGGTGGTTTGGGAGAGGGATGGGATGGCATGGATGGGATGGCATGGATGGGATGGCATGGCATGGCATGGGATGGCATGGCATGGGATGGCATGGCATGGCATGGGATGGCAGGGCATGGGATGGCATGGCATGGGATGGCAGGGCATGGGATTGTACCATAGAGCATAGATGGGACGCCTGAGAAGGATGAACGAAGGGTTGCATGGAGTGAGGGCATGTCGTGGGCCTGAGTGCTGGTGCTGAGAAGCTCGGGTGTGGGTGTATGAGTGGCAATGCAATGGCGGCACAGCCGCACTCACAGGATCTGCAGCGAGGTGAGTCGCAGCAGCTGCTCGGGAATGGGGCCCGTGAACGAGTTCGACGCCAGGTCGCTGCACACACGGGGGCGTGGGGGCGAGCGGACGGCGGGTGAGAGGCATGAGGAGCATGAGGGGCAAGGGAGAAGGGAGGGGAATGGCGCGTGGTGGTGGCGGGGTGGGCAAGAGCTGAGGAGGGCCAGCGAGCCGAGCACGTGAGTGCAAGCACGTCTGTGCCATGCGTCTCCCAGCCTTAACCTGCTCCGCCGCATTCCCTGCTGCTCCGCCTGCCGCACCCCTCCCAGCGTCGTCAGCACCTAGCGCCGAGAAGCGCGCCGAGGCGAGCCAACGCGCTCACACGAGCAGTGTGGGGAGCTTACCATGCGCGTGGGCGGCGTGCATTGTCGCGACATGCGGACGTACATGTAGTTGAGCGCCGTGAGCGCGGCGAGCTGCACGCCGGGGATGGGCCCGTGCAGCTGCTTCTGCGCTAGCGACCTGCGCGCGGGCGCGGGAGAGGTGGGGGGTTGTTTTGGGGGGTTGGGGGGAGGGGGGAAGAGATGCAAGAGCGCGCGGACTGGGTACGGGGGGACCCGAGTGGCAGCAGCGAGGTAGGAACGCGGGGCTGGGCGGAACGGCTTCACGCGCGCAGTGAACCCCGCAAGGCGCTCACATGAATGGCGACTCACAGGAAGGTGACGTGGCCGTTGTCGTCGCAGCGGAAGGAGCCCTCCCACGACCCCCCGCACGGGTCCGTGCTCTCCGACCACGACTCCAGCGCCGCCGGGTTCGCCTCCTTCAGCGCCGCGCGCACGTCCAGCAGCGCGCGCACTGCGCTAGGGGGAGGCGGAACGAGTGGGGGGGAGGGGGGAGGAGGTGGGGGAGGTAAGGGCGATAGGTGAAGGACGGAAAGGGATGCGTGAGATGGTGGCGCAAGGCGGCGCCCACACTGCGTTGACTGCGGGGTCCACGTTCACTGGCACACGCCCACGCTTGATGCCACGTGTCCCAGCGGGGTCACGTTCATTCACTGCATGCCGACATTGTCCGTGGCTCTCCGTGACCCTAAACTGCGTATTATTTAGTTCTGCTTGTTGCAATGCGGTGAATACGGTCCCTGGTCGCAACATTGCAATGCCACATTCACGAAGTTCAGCGCTACTGTCACCAGTCGTAGTCATACTATTTAATTAGATTTCTCTTCAGTCACATTCCGAAAACCTAATGAACGGATCTTTCATATGGAGACGCACGAGTGGCATAGGGGGGGTTTGAACTGACCGTCATTCTCCGACGCGCCGGCATTCGCGAAGGTGATGCTGTGTGAGACCAGAAGCGATAGCAGAAACGTCAACAAGTGAAACAGCGACAGTCTTTGCGAACACGTGCTGCTTCGTTCAGCCATTGCGCTGATGTAAGAAACCGGACAAATAATCCAGCATTCGTAGTGCCTAGCCCTAAGTTGGCTTGAATGACGCCTGGATGAATAATCAAACGCAAATCCTTGGTTCCATCAAGAGTCTCGGGCAAACTCTGCTACCCGCCTATTTCCCGACGAAATGCATCAATCAGATTGATGCAAGTGAAATGAGGAGGCCCTGAAAGATGTACTTGATAGGCGCTTGGAACAAGCTCCAGGTAGTTCGGCTTGAGTTGACAGCTCTACTCTCTTCTCTGGTCAGCAGCGCAACATGGCTGTTGGCTACCTGGGTGGCAGCGAACGCGGTCGTTGGGGAGAAAGCTGCAATGTTCATCAGGCGGATGTTGCGGATGTTGCGGATGCAGGAGTTTCCAGTTTCCCCTTCTGCAGTATTCTCCGAAGCTCCTTCTGCAATACACTCCGGTTCCGAGTTGAACAGGTCTCGTCAAAATTTCGGAAGCACCTGCCAGAGGGCGTGTTGAGAGTACGTCCAAATGCGGTTAAACAAGGCTCGGTACGGTTCAGAGCGTTTTATATAAGAACTAAAATTGTTGGGGAGGGGACTGTCGTTAGTACGTGCTTTTCGGACCCGCCCTTGGGTCTGATTGATTAGCAAAGCATCACAAATCTGCAGTTTCAAGACATGCGAGGGCAGACATGAGTTGAGCGGAGTGAAACAGAGCCAAGCCATACCCCAGATAGTTTCGCCAAGAAAGTGGAGTGGATGCTCTTGGCATGACGTGGAAGCAATTTATGATTCCGTGTGGTGAGGCTGAATGGCTACAGTGTACGGAAAGATTATACATTTACTATACAATGAGATGAAAACAAAAACTTATTCTGATCCCTAAGCTTATCTTACAGCACACGTCTTGTCAGCTTCAGTGTGGTCGATCATATTCTGTAGTGTGCTGCAGCCTGGTGAACTTCTAGAGGCGTAACTGCACGCTCTGGACGTGCGATCAGCCATCAAGCCGTGGCCGCTACACGGCTTCGCCCTGCTGGCTGGAACTGCTCTCGTAAAGCTTCATAGCGATGCAGCTCTGATGCCGAGAGTGAGGGGGTCAGCTGTGACAAGGCCTGGAACGCATACAAGGATAGTGATACAGAAAAAAATATAAATTCGATGGAAACCAAATGGAGGATGGCAAAGAGAGGTGGGCAGGGAGGCGGGGACCTGGATGCGACAAGAATGCCAAGAGAGGAGAGGCAAGGGGAGGGAGTGGCAAGTACCTTAAGGAAGTCTGCTTGCTCCACCACCACCGCATCGTCCCCTTCCCCCTCCTTTCCACCTTCCACGCCGTGCCCCTTGGAGCGTGCAGCAGCAGAGCGGCCTGGTGTGTGGCCGTGCCCCACGGTGCGCTTGGCAGCGCAGAGCCACGCGTCGGCAGCGAGGGCGTAGAGGTCGGCGCCGGTGAAAGTGTCGGGGCAGCGGTCGGCGATGCTCTGCAGCGACACCCCCGCCCCCAGGTGGAAGCGGCGTGTCAGCGCCTGCAGCACCTTGTGGGGCTCGTGGGGGAGGGTGGGTGGGGACAATGCATGCAGCAGAGGGTCAGTGAAGGATTCAAGGGCAGTGAGAGGGTTTCAGCTGCACACTTATGGACACAACTTACTCTCTCTAACGGTCCTTATCAATGAATCTTATAAACGATACAGAAACAGCCGGTAGGTAAGGCAAAGCTATTGCTATGCAAGGCAAGGCAGCTTACACACTCTCTCAGTCTCTCAGTGCATACTACCTCCTGTTCACTCGAGTGCGAGCCATCCCTGCTATCCCCACCTGCAGCGGTGCAGAGCGGTGCTGCCAGCGCCCACATAGAGCAGCTTGTCGAAGCGGCCGGGGCGCAGCAGCGCGGGGTCGATGAGGTCGGGGCGGTTGCTGGCGCCCACCAGAAACAGATCCGATGCTGACGTGGACCCTATGCCGTCCACCTCAGCAAGCAGCTGGCGAAGGGGGGTTGGGCAGGCAGGAAGAAACAGAGCAGCAGGTGAAGTAGGGCGGAAGGAATGAGTGCGGGACTGGGGGGAACTGTACTGCAAGTTGCCCTTCATCCACACACCCCTTGTCGCCATCCCTCCTCAGCAGTATTCACCATGTTCGGCAACAACAGAAACCCACCTGACAGGCAGCAGAGACCCACCTGACAGGCAACAGCCAAACAGCCAAGAGAGGCCCACCTGGGAGACAACGCGGTCCATGACGCCCCCCGAGTCCCCAGCGGCCCCTCTGGCGGGCGCAAGCGCATCGAGCTCGTCAAAGAAGACAACGCAGGGGCGGGCGGCGCGCGCCTTGGCGAAGATGGCGCGCACGTTGCGCTCCGACTCGCCCACGTACATGTTGATCAGCTCCGGGCCCTTCACACTCAGGAAGTTCAACGAGCACTCCGTCGCCACCGCCTTCGCCAGCAGCGTCTGACGGGAGGCATGCACATGGTGGTGCGGGGCGGATGGCGGAGCAGTGCACGCATGACATCACTTGCTTGACCGGCAGTCGCTCGCACAATGATGCACTGCCTTGGAAGAAAACAAGCAGCGCAAGCAGTGTGAAGAATGTGAGTTCCGTCAACAAAGGGTGCAACACCCATTGGCTCGCATGACACGCCCATGCGTGTCCTCCCATGCCCCACACACCCACCAACCCCCACGCTCCTTCTCTCTCCACATGCCACCCCCCTCCGCTCACCTTGCCGGTGCCCGGCGGGCCGTACAGCAGCACACCGGAGCGCTGCCGCAGCCCCGATGCAAACAGGTGCCGGTGCCGCAGGGGTAGCTGGTGGGGATGCGAGGGGGGAAAGGGCAATGGGATAGGAGAAAAGGGAAACAGACACACAATGGGGCGCAGAATCAAATTGAGGGAATAAAAGCGGCACAACAGTGCAACAGTCACTGGCTGCTGTGGAATTCACCTGAGCCTGGGGAATCACCTGGATGGTGTCAAGGATAGCAGCCTTGACGTCCTCGAGCCCACCGATGTCATCCCACCGCACGTTGGGCACCTTGGGAGTGCCGATCACCGTTGCCACCCGCCGCTTCACCGCCCCCATCGCCTCCTCTACGTCCGCCCTCCCCACCGCCAAACCCCCCGCTGTCCCCCCAGCCATCCCCACACCTCTGCTTCCGCCCTCCACTTCCCTGACCCCCTCTCCCTCCGCCCTCCCCAGTCCCCCCTCTGCCTTCCCCTCTCCCTCGCATCCGCCGCTCGTCTCCGCACTGACATCCTCCCCACCCTGCCCCTCCGCAACGCCCCCTAGAGCTTTCTGCACAGCAGCTACGCCATCCGCAACCCCAGCAGCGCCCTTATCTGCTCCCCCGGGGGGCAGGGAGCGGCGGATGGCGGAGGCAGCAGCGTCGGCGGCCAGCGCCCTGAGGTCCCGCGGCAGCAGCCCTGCTGTCTCCCGCGCTACAGCCGCCGCCACGTCCTCCTCGCCCCCGGCTGTAGCGCTGGGGGGAGGGCTCTGGGGAGAGGAGCAGTGGGAAGAAGAGTAGGGGAAGCAGTAAGGTCGCGCGGCAGCAGCCCTGCCGTCTCCCGCGCTACAGCCGCCGCCACGTCCTCCTCCTCGCCCCCGGCTGTAGCCCTGGAAGGAGGGCTCTGGGGCCAAGCGGTGGTGGTGGTGGGAGAGGACGTGGGGAAGGTGGTGGGAGAGGACATGGGGAAGGTGGTGGGAGAGGACATGGGGAAGGTGGTGGGAGAGGACATGGGGAAGGTGGTGGGAGAGGACGTGGGGAAGGTGGTGGGAGAGGACATGGGGAAGGTGGTGGGAGAGGACATGGGGGAGGTGGTGGGAGAGGACATGGGGAAGGTGGTGGGAGAGGACATGGGGAAGGTGGTGGGAGAGGACATGGGGAAGGTGGTGGGAGAGGACATGGGGAAGGTGGTGGGAGAGGACATGGGGAAGGTGGTGGGAGAGGACGTGGGGAAGGTGGTGGGAGAGGACATGGGGAAGGTGGTGGGAGAGGACGTGGGGAAGGTGGTGGGAGAGGACATGGGGAAGGTGGTGGGAGAGGACATGGGGGAGGTGGTGGGAGAGGACATGGGGAAGGTGGTGGGAGAGGACATGGGGAAGGTGGTGGGAGAGGACATGGGGAAGGTGGTGGGAGAGGACATGGGGAAGGTGGTGGGAGAGGACGTGGGGAAGGTGGTGGGAGAGGACATGGGGAAGGTGGTGGGAGAGGACGTGGGGAAGGTGGTGGGAGAGGACATGGGGAAGGTGGTGGGAGAGGACGTGGGGAAGGTGGTGGGAGAGGACATGGGGAAGGTGGTGGGAGAGGACATGGGGAAGGTGGTGGGAGAGGACATGGGGAAGGTGGTGGGAGAGGACGTGGGGAAGGTGGTGGGAGAGGACATGGGGAAGGTGGTGGGAGAGGACATGGGGAAGGTGGTGGGAGAGGACGTGGGGAAGGTGGTGGGAGAGGACATGGGGAAGGTGGTGGGAGAGGACGTGGGGAAGGTGGTGGGAGAGGACATGGGGAAGGTGGTGGGAGAGGACGTGGGGAAGGTGGTGGGAGAGGACATGGGGAAGGTGGTGGGAGAGGACGTGGGGAAGGTGGTGGGAGAGGACATGGGGAAGGTGGTGGGAGAGGACATGGGGAAGGTGGTGGGAGAGGACATGGGGAAGGTGGTGGGAGAGGACGTGGGGAAGGTGGTGGGAGAGGACATGGGGAAGGTGGTGGGAGAGGACGTGGGGAAGGTGGTGGGAGAGGACATGGGGAAGGTGGTGGGAGAGGACATGGGGAAGGTGGTGGGAGAGGACGTGGGGAAGGTGGTGGGAGAGGACATGGGGAAGGTGGTGGGAGAGGACATGGGGAAGGTGGTGGGAGAGGACGTGGGGAAGGTGGTGGGAGAGGACATGGGGAAGGTGGTGGGAGAGGACGTGGGGAAGGTGGTGGGAGAGGACATGGGGAAGGTGGTGGGAGAGGACGTGGGGAAGGTGGTGGGAGAGGACATGGGGAAGGTGGTGGGAGAGGACGTGGGGAAGGTGGTGGGAGAGGACATGGGGAAGGTGGTGGGAGAGGACGTGGGGAAGGTGGTGGGAGAGGACATGGGGAAGGTGGTGGGAGAGGACGTGGGGAAGGTGGTGGGAGAGGACATGGGGAAGGTGGTGGGAGAGGACGTGGGGAAGGTGGTGGGAGAGGACATGGGGAAGGTGGTGGGAGAGGACGTGGGGAAGGTGGTGGGAGAGGACATGGGGAAGGTGGTGGGAGAGGACGTGGGGAAGGTGGTGGGAGAGGACATGGGGAAGGTGGTGGGAGAGGACGTGGGGAAGGTGGTGGGAGAGGACATGGGGAAGGTGGTGGGAGAGGACGTGGGGAAGGTGGTGGGAGAGGACGTGGGGAAGGTGGTGGGAGAGGACGTGGGGAAGGTGGTGGGAGAGTGGGACGTGTGGTGAGGAGGCCAGGGTGGTGGGAGAGGACGTGGGGAAGGTGGTGGGAGAGGACGTGGGGAAGGTGGTGGGAGAGGACGTGGGGAAGGTGGTGGGAGAGGACATGGGGAAGGTGGTGGGAGAGGACGTGGGGAAGGTGGTGGGAGAGGACATGGGGGAGGTGGTGGGAGAGGACATGGGGAAGGTGGTGGGAGAGGACGTGGGGAAGGTGGTGGGAGAGGACATGGGGAAGGTGGTGGGAGAGGACGTGGGGAAGGTGGTGGGAGAGGACATGGGGAAGGTGGTGGGAGAGGACGTGGGGAAGGTGGTGGGAGAGGACATGGGGAAGGTGGTGGGAGAGGACGTGGGGAAGGTGGTGGGAGAGGACATGGGGGAGGTGGTGGGAGAGGACATGGGGAAGGTGGTGGGAGAGGACGTGGGGAAGGTGGTGGGAGAGGACATGGGGAAGGCAGTGGGAAGAGAGTAAGGAATAAAGAAAGGGAGGCACAATGAGGTGGGAAGGATGCATGGAGGCGGGTGAGAGAGGAGAGCAAGGACGTGATTCACTGAGCGTGACTCACAGCTGCTGCGGCCCCTCATGACTCACAGCTGCTGCGGCCCCTAATGACTCACCTTGAGGAAGAAGCGCAGCAGGCGGTGGCGGTGAGTCTCATCCGGTGGCCCCACGGGTGCTGTGCCCCTGGGCCCCACGGGTGATTCGCAGGTGCTGTGCCCCTGGGCTCACCTGGAGGAAGAAGCGCAGCAGGCGGTGGCGGTGCCCCTCATCCGGTGGCCCCACAGCGAGCTCGTGAGTGAAGCACCGCCGCACCGCCACGCCCATGCCCTCCGCCTCCCCCTCCTCCACACACGCCACCACCACCACCGCCGCCCCCCCTACCCCTCCCTCTGCTGCTACAGTTGCGGCTGATGAGGTGTGCGAGGGGGGTGGGGCTGCACTGGAAGACCCATGGGGGCGGGAGAAGGAGCGGATGCAGCCGCGCAGTGTGTGGGCGAGCAGAGACAGCGAGGCGGAGGAGGAGGCGTCGGGGGCGTCTGAGGGCGTGAGGAGGGCGGAGAAGCGGCGCAGCAGCAGCACTGCTGGGGAGTAGCTGAGGGGTTGGCAGGGGTGGGGGAAGGAAGCAGTGGATAGTGAGAGGAGGGAGTGCGGAGAGGAGGGCAGTGAGATGCAACACAAGAGTGCTGCCCTATTGTAGAGACAGCTCCCTTTTGGAACCCTTGCGGGGCATCTCACCAACATGATGTGGATACTGCGAATGCCATGTCACACCCACAGCCAGCCATAGATCTTCTCACCGGCTCGCTGTTTCAAAGGCGGCTTGCAGCGCGCCAGCTGTCGCGCTCTCGTTGGCGGAGGAGGCGAGGTCGGCGCTGCTGTACTCGACACAGTGCACGCCCATGCGCTGGCACGACGCCCGCACTGCTGTTCGCCGCCCCACTCCTGGTGGAGCGCGCATGGGGGGGGGGGGGGGTTGGATTGTGGGGAGGCGTGTGGGTGGGGTGTGGGTGCAGTGTTGCTGGTGTGGGTGGGTTGTGGGTGGGCTGTGAGTGTGGGTTGGATGGAGTGTGGGTTGGATGGAGTGTGGGTTGGATGGAGTGTGGGTGGGCTGTGAGTGTGGGTTGGATGGAGTGTGGGTGGGGGGCGTGCGTGACCAGGCGTGGTTGGGGTGCAGTGTGGTGCTGAAAGAAACGACCCTTGTGTGTGCTGGTGCGATGCAAAAGGCTCACTGCTGTTGCACAGGCAACACATACTGCTGGGACTGCCAGTGACCATCGTGCTCTCACACACATCCTTCACTGCACTCACGCACACACACATCCACATCCTTCACTGCACGCACGCACACACACACGCACACACACATGCACACACGCACGCACACACACACGCACGCACGGGCGCGCAGGCCTCCCTTACCCCCCCCCTTCTCCCTCCCCCTCCCCCCCACACACACAGCAGCAGCAGCAGCACCCACCAGAGGGCCCAACGAGCAGCAGCGCGCAGCTGAACGCGGATGGCGCCATGCCCCCCACTACACTGCTCCCCCTGCCGCCCTCCCCGCCCTCCCTCCCCCACCCCACAGGCAGCAACGCCGGAGCCAACAGCCGAACCAGTCGCCCAGCCTCGGGCGGCGGGGGGTACCCTGCTAGATCCCCAGCGAATCGCAGAGCGACAGGTGGCAGGGGCGAGGGCAGGGAGGCGGAGAGGAGGAGGTGGGTGGAGTGGGGGTGGATGGCGTAGATGGTGCTGCCAGGGGGATGCACTGCTACCACCCTCAGATACACCACCCGTGCCTCCCTCTCCTCCCCCTCCTCCTCCTCCCCCTCCTCCTCCCCCTCCTCCTCCTCCCCCTCCTCCTCCTCCTCCTCCTCCTCCTCCTCCTCCTCCTCCTCCTCCTCCTCCTCTTCCTCTGTTCCTCGTTCCTCCACCTCCCGTCCTCCCCCTCCTCCCCTCGCCCCTCGACCCACCATAACAGACTGCACCATGCGAGCAACGCTCTCTCTACCGCCCAGCACCGTGAGGAAGCACGCCCCCACCGCAACGAACCGCTGCCGCACCACAGCCCGCCGCACCCCATCGTCCACCTCCCTCTGCCTCGCCTCCCTCTCCCACGCCCTCTCCTCCTCCTCCTCCTCCTCGTCCCCCTCCTCTTCCTCCTCTGACCCTTCCTCCCCACCCATGCCCACATGCTCGCGCTGCTCCTCCCCATCCTCCCTCCCCTCTCTCTCCTCATGACGTGGCACATGCCTATTGGCCCATGCATGCCCCTCCTTCCCCCTCCCTCTCCTCCCCATCCCCCCTCCCACCGCCCCACTGCCATCTCCCCTCTCTCCCCTCCCTCCTCCCTCCCCACCTCTTCCCCTTTCCCTCAGAGTGTGCCAAGGGGGGAGGGCGGAGGGGCAGCGAACAGCAGCAAGGCGCACCACAGAGGCCACGCCCACGCTCACACTCGCCATGCGCCCACCCCCATCCGCTGCCAGGGGGTGGTGCACCTGGGAGAGTGCGGGGGCAACAGGTATACTAGGCAGGGCGGGCAGGGGCAGAATGAGCACTCGGATGCCCGCCCATGCTGCCCGCCCTGACCCACCCACTCCCTCCCTCTCCTCTTCCTCTTCCTCCTCCCCCTCCTCCTCTCCCTCCTCCCCTCCCTCCTCCTCTTCACTCCCCACCTCGTCCCACATGTCATCATCCTCACACTCGCCCTGCTCATCGCGCCCCTCCCCCCCCTCACCGCGCTCCCACCCCCCCATGACTCCCCCCGGCAGGCCCAGGTTGAATCCCAGCAGGGGCGACACCCACGCCGTGCCTCCCGCACTCCCACCCCCACCCCCACCCCCACTCCTACTCCTGCTGCTGTCGCTGCTGCAGCATCGCCGGCCGGCCCTGCCCGTCCGTGGCGCCTCCCCTCGCCACAGCAGCAGGCGCACGGGCATGGCTTGGGTGGCCTGTGCGCCTGGCGCATATGGCAGCAGCGCCACCGCCACCTGCCCAGGTGTGGGGGAAAGTGGGGGGGGACGGGGGAGGGAAGAGGAGGTTGAAGAGGCGGGCGAGCAAGGCGTGCAGCTGACGACTAGTGGTGCTCGCAGTGAGACGCTTGTAAGATACCAAGTAACCACATGCAGTTCATGCCACCCGCCCTCTCATCATTCCCTTCATCCCCTCACCATGTCCCCAGCGCACATCCCCTCACCATGTCCCCAGCGCACATCCCCTCACCATGTCCCCAGCGCACATCCCCAGTCGCCTCAGCCCCGCCTCCCCCACCGCCGCCACGCTCTCCTCCTCACTCGCCCCCTCCACCGCCCACCGCCCCGCCCCCTTCGCTCTTCCCCCACGCCTCCGCCATCCCCGGTTCTCGCGCAAGTGCGCAGGCACCAGCCCCGTCAGCGGGGCCACGCGGAAAATGGGCGCTTTCCGCTCTGCCGATTCCTCTTCCCCACGCGCCTGCCTTTTCCGGTGGCCTACGGTCGCCTGCTGCGCGAGCAGCTGCTCCGCCCCATCCCCGCACCGACTTCCAATCTCCTCCCCCAGACCCTTCCGCTCCGCCCATTCCGCGGAACGAGCATCCCCGCCGGCAGCACCGCAGTCTCTCTCCGCGAGGCGGGTAAGGAGCCCCTCCAAGTCGGGAGCCAGGCCGAGGCCTCCTAACGCGGCGATGGTCGACGCCAGCAGTAACGGCTGGCCAGTATGCTCCGTGGTGGAGCCGTGAACATCGCGTCGCGTGTTGACGGCATCCGTCATGAAAAAGACGCTCAAATCTTACGGTTGGTTGTGTCGCCTCACGTCGGCTACACGATAGCACACGAGCAGCACACGTGGCACAGGGCAGGATGTTATTCAACGGTTGTTCGCTATACTGTGTGCTGCGCCAAGTGCTACGTCATCAATCAGTCTGAAACACGAAAATTTAACGTGGAGGAAGTAAGAGCGTGTCTGAAGTGAACGTCGACATTCCTCGACGAAACTTTGAGGGATGTCGAGGAATCCTGACGGTTGGAACAACTCGATCCGAGGGTTGACACTCACCGACATCCTCGACGAAACTGTACATTCGTCGACGTTTCACTTCAGACACGCCCTAAGAATTCAACTGAAGCACCATAAGGTTGAGAAAAAATCAATTGGACGAGGTGTTACACAGCATTCTCTGGTATTGGCGTGTACCCGCGATCACGACGCCACTCTGATATTTGTGCGTTCGTTCGCAGCGAATCAGGGAGCACCGTGGATGATCATGACTGGCAGCACACAGCTACGCGTGCTTCTGTTCTAACACGGCGAACAAGACGGTTTCTACGAACAGTTCACGACAGAATACATTGTTACAGTGATCGTTCCAATTCCGCGGGAACTGACAGCTGTGTTCTGGGCACAACCTGACCCCTCGGGCCACAAACAGCTCCCCGCGGAGCTCGGCAAAATCGAGGGAGAGGAATCGAGGATTGAGGGGGTGTCCAGCTCGTACATTTACTGTTCGTAAACCCCATCAGTTACCACATTTTTTGTGGTAACCCTGTATTGAACGTGTCCAGCGGACACAATCAGCTTTCGTTCACAAGACGGCACGCCCCCTGCACGTACCTAGAGTCGTCTGACTCACGTTACTCGAATCAGCAGGGACGCGAACAAGGGTACAGCACCGCGTCCTGGCCACTACAGTTCGTGCCCCTTGTATCGCTTGCACGATTTCGTCAGTGGTTCGCTCTACTCGCCAACGCCCCCTGCGCCTGCACAGAAATTCTCAAGCTATGATTGACGAGGGAAACTGTTACCTCGTTTTCAACGTGGTCAGAGCACTGTTGATTCGTGTGGCGGGGAATATGTCCGCGCTTCTGAAATTACAGGGTGGTTGGACTCCACTTACAATACATTCGTTTCTAGGTACGGTGGTCATTTTTTAACCTCGATACGTGTGTTGGCACGAAAAATCCCGAAATGAACGAACTGGACACGCCCTGAGTCACAGAAGCACAGGATTTGAGATCCGACGCATCAAGGGCTGTGTGCGTTGTTGTGAGGCATCAGGCCTGGCCTGATGCATCCGCGTCTTCCGCGTCGTTCATTCATTCCCCTCCCGCTCAGCGCCTGCGGCTCCACCTGTTCAACAGCTCTCCTAACCGCCACCACCCAGTCGTGTTTCTCCTTCGCTTCTGCGTTCTTGCGCATCGCCTGCTGCCATCGCGACCAATCCCAAGCCTTTTCTTGGATTCGAATCTTGCTGCTCACCTTCGCTACATCACACTATGGGCATTCCAGTAGTTCCTAAAGCTTTCTCACCGCACCTGCTCTTCCGTCGTAGGTCGACGCCACTCCATCACCACCACAATTTTACCGCTCTCGCATGTGAGCCCACCAAGCAACCCAACTTCCGACTTGTGACTCACGTGGGGGTCCCACCGCCATGTTCTCACCCTCCCTAGAAGACCCAAGGCCGTGAAGTTTCCTCCACGCGAAGCCATGCCGTTTCGGACGGTCGCGGCGGGTGGAGCGCAAAGCAGCAGCGTGAAGTCACCCAGAGGGCTATCCACGCCGGCAATCCCAAGGATGCGCCTTTCGCCGTCTTTGCCGGACCTTACTTCCCTTTATTCCACGTCAGATCCCGCCAGCGTGCAGTCGCCTTGTCCCACGACCTCTCCGTCTCCCACCACCGGCGACCTACCTCCCTTCTCTCCTTCAACGACAGCCCCCCTGCGATGCAGCCCAAATTCCAGCCCGAAAACTAATCATTTTCCCGGTCTGGATGCGATTTCTGCAGCGCGCCGAGCGAAAGCCGGTGGAAGCAAGACGAGCGTGAGTCATGGCTCGGGCATCAACAGCGGCCAGCCGAGGAAAATCGCGTCGCTCGACACAGGGCCGCCGTTGCTGCGGCGCACGGATCGCGATCGCCGGTACTCCCTGGGCGGCAGCGGCGACTACCCCCGCAGCTTCAGCGTGAGCGCCGTGGTGGAGCTCAGCCGGGCTGAATCATTCACCGCGCAGCACCGTCCCGCACTCCCTTCCCTTCAAAGCCTGTCTGACGCTGCTGCAGCAGCACCCGTGGCGGGAGAGCAGCACAGGGGTCCTGCCAGGAGCAGGCGCGGGGGGGAAGGCAAGGAAAAAGAGGACATGGTGCGAGGGGATGGTATGAGCGAGGGGTACGACTCGGACGAGGATTTTGTGAAGCTGTACGGGCTGGTCGCGCAGCACCGCGCGGCAGAGCGCGCCATCGTGTCCTCAGCCTTCGCCAAAGTGCTCTCCTCGCCTGCCCAAGGCAGCTACAGCCCCAAGGGTGGGACTAGCAGCGGTTGTAGCAGCATTCCAGGGTCCGGAAGCGGTTTTCGCCCCAAGGATGGGACTGGCAGCGGTTGTAGCAGTATTGTCAGATCAGTAAGTGGGTGCCTCTCCGTGGCTGGGTCTGGCAGCGGCTGTGGCAGCATTGTCAGGTCTGGCAACGGTTGTAGCCCCAAGGTTGGGACTCGGAGCGGCTGTAGCAGCATCATCAGATCTAGCAGCAATGCCTTTCCAAAGGTTGGGTCTGGCAACGGCTGTAGCCCCAGATTCACGTCTCAGAGCGGCAGTAGCAGCTGTATCCAGTGGGCTGGCGATATCATTTCCACATCCAGCAACAAGACATATGTGGCAGCTGATGATGAGCATGAGGGGCGCCGTGGTGTGCCCAGCTGTGCTGACATAATTCCAAATCACGGGATCACATCAGTTGAGCTGCTAGTGCCAAGTCCCAGAGCAGCAGCGTTGGGACCTCGTGCTACTCTCAAGGGGAATTTCAGCAATGCTCCTGGCGCCATTCTGAGGAGTCGGGGTCGAATGAGTCTTGATTCTGCAGTGGTGAATGTGGCGTGTACTGGTGCTGGCGAGAGAGAAAGCATCCAGTCGCTGATGGTCTTGGGGAATTTGCAGATCAACGAGCAAAGACATGGACACCAGCAGCAGTCGCAGAGGGAGAAGAGCTTTCTGGGGGGCCAATCAGGTGCTGAGATGGGTTTTCCTGTGGTTGGCACAAGAGGCAAGTGAGTGTGTTCCACACACTTCCACTCTCAACAGTGTAACCGTTCCTTCTGCAGGAGCAAGCCCCCGAAGCATGCTCCAGCATGCATGGGAAGCAGATGTAAGGACACAAGAAATCAAATGCTCGATTCCTGAGGCTCATACCGGTACCAGGGTTTGCATGGCCAGCAGTAAACCTGTAACGCTTTCGAAGCCAGGTCATAGGAGACGGGCTAGTTTGTCAGCAATAACAGTTGAGGTAAGTTCGTTCTACGAATCCTGAGCTAGCATACAGTACGTAGTCTCCAGTAATCTAGGCCTCGCTTTTGAGTTTAAAGGCTACCTATATTGCTGTACTGTGCCCATAGGGTTCTGCAAATTACACGTGCTTACTTGTGAACAAAGTGCATGCAGAATGGCATGGGGAAGAAATAGATGACCAGTGAAAATCCTTGCTATTCTGCAAATTACACGTGAAAATCCTTGCTATTGTACCCTATAACTACCATGCTGCACACTGCACCCCTCTGGCTCTGCATACTATTAATTATACAGTACTCCACGCTCTGGTCTCCGGACAGCAAGGCGACGACAACCGCATCTGTGGGATCGCGATTCGATTCGCTAGGCGTGCTGCGGCACGTCGAAAATACGGTTGTGGGAGCGACTCATGCGCATTGCGCAAAGGTGGCAAGCGGCGAAACCACCCCATTCCCCCTTCCTCGTCCCCCAAACCCCCTTTCTCCCCCTCCTTCCCCGCACCTCCCTCCCCGCTCCCCTCTTGCACATCCAACACCGGTGCTGGTAAAATGTAGAACTGACAGCAGAGTCGATTTCCATCCTACATCTCGTCAGCCACCATTTCCCCTACGCGTCGCACCTTCCTCCTCCCACCATTGTGGAAGAGCTTCCGTCCGGCACGCCGAAAGAGGGATATTGACGAGAGCCACAATGACAGCGGACTTTCCGAGCGCGGCGCAAGGAGACCCACAAACGGCGGCGGCTGCATCGTCCCAACCTGTTCCGCCATATCCCGGACCTGTTCCGCCATATCCCCAACCTGTTCCACCTTATCCCGGACCTCCGCCTTATCCCGGACCTGCTCCGCCTTATCCCGGACCTGTTCCGCCTTATCCCGGACCTGCTCAGCCTTATCCCCAACCTGTTCCGCCTTATCCCCAACCCGTTCCGCCATATCCTCAAAATGCTCCGCCTTATCCCGGACCTGCTCCGCCATATCCCCAACCTGCTCCGCCATATCCCCCGCCATACCCCCAACCTTTTCCGCCAGTCGCCGTGATGGGCACTCCCGTGGCGTCACCGTTTCCTGCTCGTTGCGCGAAACCCGAGAATAGCCGCGTGGTACGCATAATGTTTCTCTTTGAAGAGCAGGGATCATGCCGCTACTTCTAGTAGCACAGTGCGCCGCGCGTGGGTACTAGATGCTAAATCTTCACTCATAGGGAATCGGAGCCTCGTTGAGGAATTTCCGTGTTTTCGTCTCCGCATCGCATTGCCCGCGTCGCGTGTCGGTTCGCACGTAGCCATTCTGCTCTCTCAGGGCTGGAGCATATATAGCGCCACCCACACACAGCGACGGCAGGTTCAACAGCGCCCATTGTCCCCCTATCCGCTGCGCCGCCCGCAGGTGATCTCACAGGGGGCGGGCGGGGCGCTCGAGGTGCGCATCCCCGCGGCGGGGTTCTTCCCGGACGGCGCCGTGGGGTGGATCCTCTGCATCCTCACTCCCTTCCTCGTAAGCCGCCTGCTCACTCCCTTGCTTGCAGGCCCTTCCTCACTGCGCTTCTTCTGAACCACCCTCTCTCTCTCTCTCCGTTTCTTGTCGCTCGCTCCCCTCCCATGCGACCCTCCCATGCGACCCTCCCATGCGACCCTCCCATGCGACCCTCCCATGCGACCCTCCCATGCAAGCCCTTATGAGCAAGCCCCTCACAGCAAGCCCCTACAGCATCCCTTCCCGTCGCATTCCGTCCCATGCAAGCTCCTCACATCGTGTCGCGCTCCTTCTCATCTGACCTCCTCCCATCCCCCTTCCCACCTGCTCTCTCTTCCCACTCATCTGACCTCCTCCCATCCCCCTTCCCACCTGCCCTTCCCTCTCTCTCTTCCCCACTCTCCCCTCAATTCCCCCCCTATAACATCTCGCTACCCACTGGGTCAAAACGAGGTGTTATAAGGCGCAGCGGAATGCCCATTAACCAGCCCACAGGCGTTACACCCCCTGCCCTTCCCTCGCGACTGTCTTGCAAGCTAGCTTCAGTGCGTGCGACCGTCGCTCCATACGTTTCCCACCAAACAGGGTCCGACTCCCAACCAAATCCTCCAACCGAACATAACCGAAGCAATCATATCGGTCACCGCCACCCTCACATCTCCATTCCCCCCCTCTCGCGCCCAATCACCCCCCTGCTCAACCCTCCCTCTCGCCCGACCGCTCCTTATCCCGCTCCACCGCGCGCCCTTGCACCTCGCTCCGCCCTTGCACCTCGCTCCGCCCTTGCACCTCGCCCCGCCCTCTCACCTCGCTCCGCCCTCTCACCTCGCTCCGCCCTCTCACCTCGCCCCGCCCTCTCACCTCGCTCCGCCCCCTCACCTCGCTCCACCCTCTCACCTCGCCCCGCCCTCGCAGGTTGCAACGTTAGTGGCAATCGCCATTTTCCTGCCCTTCACCATCTGCATCCTCTGCGGCTTCACCGCGTGAGTGCCTTGCAGAAACGGAATTGATGGCATGCGTACCGAAATTAAGTGGGTACTTGCACATCCTGAATCCGAGCATCAGACTGCTTATGGTCACAATGGCTGAAGCATGCCAGGGCTGAAGCATGCCAGGGCTGAAGCATGTCATAATGGCCTCTCGCATCGCACTTATCACCACATGTCGCTCGCACTTATCACCACATGTCGCTCGCACTTATCACCACATGTCGCACTTATCGCCACATGTTGCACATGCACACCCCACATCCACGTCCACGCGTCCGGTCCCAAACTTCCACTACCTGCTTTTCACACCGCATACCCACTCCTCCTCTCTTTCTCCCTTCTTCCACGCCCGTGCTGCTCCCGGCCGTGCAATCCCTCTCAGCTGCTCCTTTGCATGGATTAGCAGCGCAACTCGCTCGGAGACCATTGTGCTGTCGCCCGACCTCTTCACCATCACCACCACAAACTCCGGCTCGACCAAGCGGAAGCAGGGCAGCACGCTAATGGTGCGCGCCATTGTGGTGCAGAACTTGAACTCCCCACAGCCGCTGCCACCCCCGCCAGTGCATAGCCTCGCTGCCCAAAGTCCCATCCCTCCTCCGCCTGCCCCTGCCGCGCGCTCAGCAGCTAAGCCGCCAGAGCTGGTGTGCATGATTGTTGGGATGGAGCAGGAGGAGTACCGGTTTGGCAAGACACTGAGTGAAGCGGAGAAGCAGTGGGTGGTGGGTGAGTTGTCTCACCACTTGCATACCATGCACATGCACCCAGCGCAACAGAATGCTTAGAGTGTGAAATATGGAAGCACTGTGTGCTGTGGAAGACCCCTCCCTCCCTGAGCAGGAAGCTGAGCAGCAGTCATTGAATGCTTTGAAAAGGAAAGACAAGGATTTTATCCAGGGATCTGGTTCGCAAAACACAGAACACATTGGGATACCTACACCAACTATTGGGATTTCCTAGGCCTTTTCACGGCTGAGGCTTCATAGTTTGTTCCTAGACAGCCTGGGATATCACATGGACACTCCCATCAGCCACTGAAAAGTATTGTAGAACGAGGGAGACAAGGTGGAAAGAGACTATACGTGTTGCTATATGTGAGTTCATACTCTGATTATATTTAAGTGGTTTCAGATGCTGGCAAGCTGTTGTTATAGGAGATGATGTGAGGCTACAACCTGCCATGTGGAATACGTTGTGAGAGTCGAGGAAATTCGACGGATGAGATTGCTCTTGCTTCGATAAGGTCGTCGATGCGGCACGAAAGCACACGCAGAAACGTGCGAGCGAGCTGCTCTTGGGCTGGGCAGAGAGGTTCAAAGTGAAACGGAGACATTTCCATACCGCACTGTTGTAGGTCATGTGACTGCAATTCTAGAAACACATTCCACTCACCCCTTCCGAATCCTTTCCCTTTCCCGTATCCTTTCCCGTATTTTTCCTTCGCGCCGTGCTGAGCGCGTAATCAGCGAGTGCTTGTTGGAAGCCGTGCAGCCGTCGATATCGGAGGCTTTAGCTGCGAGCCGCCATGTTTCGCGACGGGAGCTTAGGCCTACCAGGATTCGGTGGAGATGACGAGGAATACAACAGTTTAAAGCAGAAACTCACGTCACCGTCCAAAAAGAGGTATAGTATTACGACGGCATAGTACATTTTTTTTTAGGACGCTGTGAATGTCGTCATGTTAGTCTTGTGAGATGTCGCAGCTTTACCTTACGAAGCAGTTCTCGGATGATGTTATATCGAAGAACCAGTATATGCCATTTTATAGTTGGCTTATCTAGTGGACCTTAGGCTGGAAGAGCAAAAACTTCCCTGTTGATCCCTGCGCTTATTCGCTCACTCAACACGCCAACGCAGCGCTGCACAGTTCCTCCGTTCACGCCTGACCCAACTCCCTCCTCCGTTCACGCCTGACCCAACTCCCTCCTCCGCACCCATCCCCGCGTCCGTGCAGCGTGCGGTTCGCGTCGTCGTCAGGGTCAGCACCACCGCCCGCGACGAGCCGGGGTGTGCCGGCAGCAGGCGCGGCGGCGACTGCGAAGAGCGCGAATGCGAAGCTCGCAGATGTGAAGAGAGCGGATGTGATTGAAACAGATGTTCGTCAGGAAAGTGCACCTAGTCCCACTGTCCCACTTGATACGCCCACCGCCACTGCTGCTCCTCCCAGCGCCACAGCTGCTGCTCCAGAACCTTCGCCTGCACCCGATGCGAGTAAAGCGACAGGGAGCATTTTTTATGAGGCTAGTAACGAGTCCGTCCAGGCTGGAAGCAGCGGGGCAGACGAGATGGGGAGTAACGAGGGGAGCCTAAATGCGAGGCGAGCAGGCAGGTCTAAGAAGGTTGCCTTTGCTCTTCCGCCCTCAGAGACAGGCGAATCAGCTCAAGGATTCACTCAGGCAGTTGGCGGGGCTGCGGATGGTGATGGCCGTGATAGGCCTGAGACTGGGGATTCTCCAGTGCCACAGATCGAATCCCGACCTTCAGTTGAATCTCAACCGTCCGCTGCATCTTCACCGTCCACTGCGCCACCAGCAGAGAACCCCATAGAGTCAGCTCTCGCCGTGGCATCTGATTGGCTCAGGCAGCACCGAATAGGAGCGCGCGCAGTGGCTGCCATCGATCATGCGATTCACAAGTGAGTCAACGGCCGGGCAGATGGCTTTAAGAGAGAGCGAATGGCTCCTACATGTAGCATCCCCGTGTTGCTCAGTGCTTTTCTCGGCTCTTAGAAACGCATGGAGTTTCATTTGAGGCTCCCTGAACCAGCTTCGTGCATCTCCACGCGGACACTCCCCTTGCTTCGCTCCCTGCTCCCACACTTGTTATACCTTCCTGTCCCTCCGTTTCAGCATGGGACCAGCAGCACAGCAGGCGGCGCAGGCCGGGCGGCAGCTGTGGGCGGCGTATGGGCGGCAGGCGGTGGGGGAGGTGGTGAAGTGGCCGATGCTGGTGCATGTGTGCATGGGCGTGGGGCTCACGTTCCTGCTCTGCCAGACGGGCTTCCTCCTCTCCCTGCTGCTGCTGCCTTGGGCTGTGCTCTACTTCTGGCTGGTACGCCGCTGCTGTTGCTGCTGCTGCTGCGGCTGCTGCTGCTGCTGCTGCTGCTGCTGCTGCTGCTGCTGCTGCTGCTGCTGTTAAATATTATTGATAAACAAACTATATATATACATATATATGTATATAACCTGATATACTTGCCTTTCTGTCCCCCCATTTTCTCTCATTCATGCTGCTGCGGCCGAGCCTCTACAAGCTCCGGAAAGTGGACAATCCCCTCCGTCTCCACCCCAATCGCCCTTGCTCTTCCTGCCCCCCCCTCCGCTTCCCTCCACCCGTGCAGCTGTGGACGCACCACTACGAGCGCCTCAAAGTGGCAGTCAGAGCAGCCCCCACCTGTTGCCCATGCTCGTCCTCCCCCTTCACCCCCTTCCACCCATGCATGCAGGTGTGGACGCACCATTACGAGCGCCTGAAAGTGGCAGTCAGAGCAGCCGTGCGCATCGAGCAGCTCATGTCGCGGGTGAGACAATCGCAGCAGAGCTGAATAGCCTTTTAGGGTGTTTTCCATCAACTGTGTGTGTGATGATGAGCAGTGAAAGAAGCCTTTCAGTTGTTTGACCTAATAGAGTGAAAAACATGCCCACTGGGCAAGGCCTGGCCCCCATTCCTCGACCACCACTCTCTCACTCCCACTCCGCTCTCCTCTCCCCGTTCCCTCTGCTTACTACACACAACACAGGCCATGCCCGAGTCAGAAACGGCCTTCTGGGCGTCGGTGCTGCTGGCCAAGGCGTGGCCTCTCTTCCTCAACGACCTCGTCTCCTCCAAGCTCATGCCCAAAGTCGCGCCCTGGTTCCTCTCCCGATACAAGCCGCCCATGCTCGTGCGTCCATCTGCCCGATGCCGGATGCTCTCCCATGCTACTCCATCCCTCCATATCCTTCTGTTACTGTTGCACGTACAGCATCTGTCAGTGTCGTCACTGACTCACTGTCTGTCCTTCCCATCCAAATCCCTTAGGCATACGGGATGGAAGTGCATGTGCCTGCCACATGCTACTTGTGTGCCTGATGCGTGCATGCGTCTCCCCCGCCCACCACAGGCGAAGGTGGAGGTGGTGAAGGCCAACTTCGGCGACACAGCGCCAGTTATCACATCCATAAAAGCGTTCCGGGAGGGAGGAGGGCGGAACCATGTGGTGAGTGAGTGTGTGAGTGAGTGAGTGGGTAAGTGTGTGAGTGAGTGAGTGAGTGAGTGAGTGAGTGGGTGAGTGAGAGGGAGCGAGCAAGAGAGTGAGTGAGGGAGTGAGTGAGTGCTGGCTGGGAGCATGTGGTGAGTATCTTCTTCCTCCCTCCTGCTTGCTCTCGCCCTCCTTGCCCATCCCTGCCCATTACCTTCGTGACTAGGAGCAGGCGATAACATTCCACGCCACACTGCTTGCCCCGTACGGCGTACGCCCCTCTCTATCACTGTGCAAGCCAGCACCGTCACTTGTTGCCTCACCTGTTCAACTCTCTTGCACCTTTCATCCCACGCCGTCGCCTCACCCCCCTTACCAGGAGCTGGAGTGTGCGGTGCTGCATGCACCACCATTCCACACTCCCCTCACCTTGCCCCTTCCCCTTCATCTCTCCGCACCTCACCCCTGCCCATCACCAGGAGGAGCTGGAGGCGAGTGTGGAGCAGAGGGCGTGTGCGGACAACACGACTGTGCTGCCAGCACCGACCCCCCTCGTTGCCTCGCCCCTTCACTTTCACCTCACCCCCTCCATCACCAGGAGCTGGAGGCGAGTGTTGAGACAACATGAGTGTGCGCGCATCCCGCTCCTGTTGACACATCCCACTCTCCCCTTGCCACCCCTGCCCCTCATCCCTCTCACCAGGAGCTAGAGGCGAGTGTAGAGCTGGTGGGGGCGGACAACTTGAGTGTGCAGGCCACGGCGTATGTGACTGGCAGGCATGGTTAGCACCCCGCTCCTGTTGAAGCATTCCATTCTCCCCTTGCCCGCCACCGCCCCTTATCCCCCTCACCAGGAGCTAGAGGCGAGTGTGGAGCTGGTGGGCGCGGACAACATGAGTGTACAGGCCACGGCATATGTGGCGGGCATGGCTAGCATCCCCTGGACCGCCTACATCACCGGGCTGCAGCTCACCGGCACGGTGAGAGAGGGGTTGGGTGAGGTGGGAAGCGGTGATGGGAAGGGAAGGTTGTTTGGAGCGAAAGCATGGCTGGCATCCCTTGGGCCGGCCACATCACGGGGCTGCAGCTCACTGGCACGGCGAGAGAGGGGTTGAGTTGAGTCATGTGAAGGTCAGGTGATGCGAAGGGGGTTTGTTGATGGGAGGAGCAGGGGGGTTGGAGTGGAAGCATGGCGAGAGCATCCCTTGGACGGTAGGTACATCACAGGGCTTCAGCTCGCCAGCACGGTGCGACCGTTGGGAGGGAAGCGGTCATTGTAAGGGAAAGGGGTTTATGTTTTTAAATGATCATGCTTTTTCATGGTTTGGGGACTGCAGTTCACAGGCACGCCACTCTTCCCTCCCTTTCCCTTTCCCCCCATCCCCTTTCCTCCCTCTCCCCCCTCTCCTCTCCCCATCCCCTCTCCTCCCTCTCCCCCCATCCTCCCTCCCGGCAGATGCGAGTGGGGCTGCAGTTCCGCGCTCGCTCCCCTTTGTGGACCGGGTCACGCCGAGCCTCACCACGCGCGTGGGATGCTGTAGAAGCGTTGTGAACGCCCTTCTGCCTGCCCTTCACTCCCTCCCCGTTCCCTCCTCCATCTCCCCGCTTCCCCTCCCCATGCCCCGCCCTGCAGATGCGGGTGGGGCTGCGGTTCCGGCGCTCGCTGCCCTTTGTGGACCGCGTGACACTGAGCTTCGTGAGGCCCCCCCAGGTGTCGTGCGCCATCAAGGTCATGGGCGCGCTCGACGCCGCCAGCATGCCGCTCGTCGCCTCCTATGTGGTGCGTTCCGCATGGCATGGGAGGGGGTGGGGTGGGGTGGGGTGGGGTGGGGTGGAATGGGTCACACTGCAAGGGTCACTTTGCAAGGGCCACACTGCTCATGCCCCATGCCCCTGCTCATGCTTTGCCTATATGTGCTTTTCCTGTTGCCCTCCCCATCCCGTTTCCCTCCCCATCCCCATCCCCATTGCCCTCCCCATCCCCATCGCACTGCCCACCCCCACCGCCCTCCCACCACCGCCCTCCCCATGGCACCCCTTGTGGCGAGCAGGACTACACGCTTCAAAACGCGCTCAAGACTTCCCTCTGCTGGGTACGCGCCTCTAACGCCCTCCTCATGCCCACTGGCTATTGCTTCGGAACCAACCTTGGCATGCCATGTCCCATTGCCATGCCATGCCATGTCACATGCTTCCATGTTACATCAGTTACACCATGTCACATGCTTCCATGTTACATCAGTTACACCATGTCATACAAAGAGCTTCCAAGCCGTTCCATGCCCTGCCATGGCTTCATGTGCAACCCATGCCATACCAATGATGTTTCTTGATTTCATGCCATGTCATGCCATGCAGTTATGCTATGCCATGCCATGTCACCTCGTTACTCATGATGTTTCGACTTCATGCCATGTCGTGCAGCTGTGAATCGCCATGCCAAGCTATGTGAAGCCTTTTCCTCCTGCCTGCGAAGTGTTCAATCACTATGCTTTTTGCCCCCCTCCTGCAGCCCAACTGGCTGGTGGTGGTGGACGTGGTGAGGGCAGCTGCCTTCGTGCTGGATAGACCTGCTTTGGTGTTGACTGGCGTTGACTGGTGTTGACAGGCGTTGACTGGTGTTGACTGAAAATGACGAGTGACAAGTTTCTTTGCCTTTGTGCTGGACCTGCCTAAGTGTGTCATCCCCTCAACCCCGTTCTTCCTCCACCCCACCCCATCCATCTGCAGCCCAACCGGCTGGTGGTGGTGGATGCGGTGAGGGCAGCTGCCTTTGTGCTGGACCTGCCGGTGCCGCCCCCCACGGCCGAGGAGATCAGCATCGTCACTCCCCGCCCTGTTACCAAGAGCAAGAGTGAGTGGCGTGGTGCCGAGGTGGTGGGATGCGCGTGGGTGGCGGAGTGAGTGGGTGGTGTGCCCTCAAGGTTCAACTGCCAGTGCCGCCGCCCACGCCCGAGGAGATCAGCACCGCCACTCCCCGGCCCGTCACCAAGAGCAAGAGTGAGTGGCGTGGTGTGGTGCTAAGGGGAAGAGTGAGTCGCGTGGAACAGAGGTAGTGGGGTGTGCGTGGGGGGGTGTGCCTTCAAGTTGCAACCACCAGTGCCGCCCCCCACGCCCCAGGAGATCAGCATCGTCACTCCTCGGCCTGTTACCAAGAGCTAGAGTGAGTGGCGTGGTGCGGAGGGGAAGAGTGAGTGATGCGGTGCCAAGGGGAAGAGTGAGTGATGCGGTGCCAAAATGCGGTGCCAAGAAGCCGGGTGAATATTGAGCTTACAAAGAGAGTGACGGGGAAGCGTGGGTGGTGGTTGACGGAGAGAGTGTAGCTGCCAGAACGGGGGTTGGTGGCAAGAGAGTGGGTGGTGGGAGGCAGAGAGAGTGGGAGGTGTGTGTAACTAAGGAGCAGCCATGGGGGTTTGTGATGTGCCATGGCGTCACCTGTCACTGCCACCTGAGGAAATTGGCATTCTCACTCTGCGGATGGTTGTCAAAGAAAGGATGGAGTTGTGTGGTGTGAAGGGAGGGAGTGAGAGGTGTGGTCTCTAGGGTAAGAGTGGGTACTGTGCTTGCTCCCACTCTCCCTGCCCCCCCACTCTCCCTCTTCTTCACTCTCAACAACCTCTGTATGCCCCCCAATTACCCTCTCTGCTCTTCCCAACCTTTTCCGTTCCTCCGCACCAACCGCCTTCCCGCTCACACCCCTCTCCTCCCCTCCCCCCCCCACCCCCTTTGTACCTAACTGGGGCCCACTCGGCCCCCAGGTACCCTCTCTGCTATCTCAAAAAAGTTCCTTTCCAAAAAAGGCACGGCCCCCACTGCCGGCTTGCCAGCTGTCGCCACGCTATTGGTCGAAGTCATCGAGGCAAAGGATCTCCTGGCAGCAGATGCGGGCGGCACATCTGACCCCTATGTGAAGGGTTCGATCGGTGCCGCCCGCTTCCAAACCACGGTCATCTCGAAAAAACTCAACCCGCAGTGGAACCAAAAGTTTGAGGTGCCCGTGGCGGACTGGTCGCTGCCCGAAAGCTACACTCTGGTACTGCGCGTGAAAGACTACGATATGTTTTCGGCAAACGACGCGATCGGGCGGGCTCAGATGGACATTAGTGCTGTGAGGGGGGCTGGGAGGAAGGAGGAGTGGCTGTCACTAGTGGACGGCGGAAATGGAAAGATCAGAGTGGCTGTGGAGGTGAAGGAGGACGGGGGTATTGGGGCTAGCGGCAGTGATTCTGATCCTGCTGGCCCTTCAGCTTCTGCTGCTGCTGCTGCTGCTGCTGCTGCTGGTGCTGGTGGAAGGCGAGTGGAGAGAGCAGCGTCAGATGCGTCAACGTCCACTCTGGAGTCTTACTCTCAGGACTCCCAGTCTGTGTCTCCTGCCCGTTCAGAGGATGCTGCTCGCGCTGCTGCTCCCACCACAGCCACAGGTGCGCGACTCCCTTGGAGCTCTTTAATTTAGGATCATGTCGCTGATTCACAGCGAAAACTCTTTTGTTTTTACTATCCTGCATCCTTACCATTTGTTTCTAGCCCGCTTGCTGCGCCTGGTACAGCCGAGGGAGTGGGGTTTGAGGTGCCTGACAACATGCCTCACGAGCCACACACAGCCTCTTTTCCTTTCTCCCTCCGGCTTCTCCCACCCTCCCCTCTACCTCAGTCGTTCCCCGTTCATCCACCTCCGAGGCCGTCCCCTCCCAGTCTCTCCCCACGCCCTCCTCCTCCTCCTCCTCGTCAACCCCCAAAGGCAGCAGCTGGTTCCGTGGCCTGGCCAGCACCGGCCGAGGCAGCCGCAACGGCCGCCCCACCAGCAGCAGCACCTCATCCCAGCCTATCTCACTTGACGAAACCACTTCTGGGGCCACAACTCCTAAGGACATGGCGCCTGCAGCGAAAACGCCCAAGGAGGGAACCCCGCGGTCAGGCAGCCGGAGCTGGTCGTTCAAGTCGGGGTCGCTCAGGCGCCTGGGGTCGGGCGCTGGTGGCAGCTTGGGCATTGCCGTGGCGACCGTTCACGTGGAGGTGATTGAGGCTGACTCACTCGTTCCTGCCGATCAGATCGGTGAGTGTGTGGGCTGCTCTATCTAGCGGCGGGAATGTTGGGGTTTCTGGTGGCAGCTTGGGCATTGCCGTGGCGACCGTTCACGTGGAGGTGATCGAAGCTGACTCACTCGTTGCTGCTGATCAGATCGGTGAGTGTGTGGGTTGTTGTAGCGGGAAGACTGGCGGCCGCGGGTGGGGTTGAGCATTGTGGTGGGTGGCGACTGTTCATTGCGGCCAGAACGACTGGTGAGTTTTGGCCAGAACTGAAGATTGGGGGTCATGGCCATGGCAGTGGGCATTGCAGTGGGCATTTCAGTGGGCACTGTTCATGGGGAGGTGTATGAAGGACGTCATCCACACTCACGGGGGAGTAGGGTCCAGCCGAGATGTTAGCAATGGTCCAAATCTCTGTGCCATGAGTTATGATGGGGCCTTGTCGGTCTGGTGCCCCTTCAAGGCTGCTCGTGTTATGCATGCGTGATTTATCACTCTTGAAAGAACAGCAGCGATGTTTTCACAAGCATGATGCATCGCCATTGAAAGAGCAGCACTTACCTGTACACATCCTTCCAACTTAGGGTTTAGGGAGTGTACTCTCATTTAGTGTCTACCATTCTGTAACTCCCCCCCCAACCTCTTTGCTCTCTCTGCTTACCTTCTTTCTTTGCAATTTCACCTGACGTGTACCATGCAGGTACATCTGATCCCTACCTGAAAGGCTCCCTGGGCTCTTCCAAATTCTCCACCAAAATTATTTTCAAGACGCTCTGCCCGCGATGGAACGAGAAGTTTTCGCTGCCCGTGAAGGAATGGCCGCCTGCGGGCAGCCCTTTCCTGTTGAAGCTGAACATTTTCGACCGTGACATGCTGACTCAGCACGACCCTCTAGGGAGCGCTGCCCTCGATATAATGCCGCTCAGGGACGGTGCAAGGCACGCCCTGTGGTTGAAACTAGAGAATGTGACTACAGGGAGGGTGCATGTGACTGTGACTGTAGAGGATCACCTTGGGCCGGCAGAGACTGATGAGGAGGAGAACGAGTGTGTGGAAGGAGGGGAGGAGGGTGGGGATGGGAAGGCAGGTGCTGGGATAACAGATGCACAAGAATCACCTTTCCAGACGTCGGCACGTTCGTCCAAGAAGCAAGCGAGCAAGGCACCTGCACTCACCAGTATTCCCTCAGGGCAGGAGCTCGCAGCCATGGCTGACCCCCCTGCTGCCTCGTCCTTTGGCCCTTCCAGCCCCCCGCCTGCCAGCGACTCTCCTGTAGCGGGGAAGGGGGGAACAGGAGAGGCTGGGGAGGCAGGGGCGGGGGCAGAAGGAGGAGGCTGGGAGTCTGACGCGCAGGGGCGGCAGGGAGTGGAGAAGGAGGTGCCGCAGGTCTGGGTGGCGCATGTGGAGATCATAGAAGCCACGGATCTGGTCGTTGCTGACATGACAGGTGAGGGATACAGTGAGGGATACAGTGGACCCTGTGCTTGCTGTACCGGTGCCCATCTTTCTGCTCCTCCTACTGCCGTTGCCCATGGTTTGATGTTATTGTTTTGGGGTCTTGCGGTAAACACTTCTTTCCTGTTATGTTCATTTTTACAGGTTACTCCGATCCTTACGCGATTGGAAAAATCGGCGAGGCAACGTTTCAAACGAAGCATATCTCGCGAACGCTCAACCCTAAATGGTACGAGGAGTTTAGTGTCTCCGTGCCCGTCTGGGATCCTGACGTCACATACCTTCAACTTGTGGTGAAAGATCGAGACACCTTCTCTTCGGATGAGTCAATAGGCAAGGCGAATGTCAACTTGAACGTGTTACGGGATGGGCAGCGCCACGCGCTCTGGTTACCGTTACAAGGAGTGAAGAGCGGCAAGGTGCATGTGGCGGTGACGTTGATGGAGCAAAACGTGGAGTCTAATGTGGTGGTGCACGAGCTAATGCCTGGCTGTGTCATCGAGTGTTATGATGCGATCAAGCTGGTGCTCTAGCTTGTAACTACGGTTTGTGCTCTAGCTACTTACTGTAGCTTGTGCAAGTGTAGGATTCATAGAAGTCTGGTTTTCTGGTACCTGGATGTCAGCAAGTCAGGTTCTGTATAAAACACTAGTTGAGAGGTTTGACACAACTAGTGCACCTCCTGGATAGAATACCCTAGAGTAGTTGTCCTAAATACAGTTGGCATAACATGTAATGAGATTATATTGAGTCAGGAAACAAGGTGAGGGTCAACTTCTCAGTGTGAGTTTATCGAACTGAATGCTTGTTCGCCTTTTTCGTGCCTCGCTGTGGTCAAGCAGGTCGTTGCACGCCAGCGGGGCACCGCCAGCAAGACAGGGGGGGCAAACCTTGCCTCGCTGTGCCAGGGAGGCTCAACTACCACGTGAAGAGAATGACTGGCAGCGCCAGCAAATCAAGCCCAAGAACTGTGACTGCGATACACCGCACTGCAGTCCTCCACATCGCCTAATATGATGTATCTTAACAAACTGCACCGTAGCTAACCGAAATAAGAATGACCACATTCAGCTATTCCACCCATTCAACACATCTGTTGAGGGGGCACAACATGCTGCTGAGCTGACCCAAGGGGAACTCCCCAACGTGCGATGCGCGACTCAATATGATCTCATTATCAGGAGTCATTCAGAACACCCGTGCAATCTCAGATGCTCTGAACATCAGGAAGCATTTTCAAGTCACAGCACTCTGCTCTTACCGCGTTTCAGCACTTCATAACACCTACTTTTACTACTACTAACACCGCGTTTCAGCACTACTACTACCTATGTTCGTACCAGCGCATAGCTTCTCAACCTGCATAGCCCGACCACGACGATGGGTAACGCAACGTGCGACGCGCAACTTGATGAAAAGCCGCAAGCAACGACGGCTGCCGCAATGTCCGCGGGAACTGCCAAGCCCGAGCCCGCGCATCCGCCTCCGCCTGTCTCTCACCCGCCGGCTCCGCATCCCCCCGCAGTGGGGATTCCCGCAGTAGGAATTCCCGCGACCTCGTGGCCTCCTCGATACTGCAAGCCCGAATCGAGCCGCGTGGTACGCCCGTCCACTGCTCTTTTCTTTTTCTTTTTCTTTTTTTTCTTCTTCAATAAATACTATCAGTAGATGTAATCGTGTAGCTCGATGCTTCATCCCATTAATTCAACACGCCACCACGCCCCGTGCTTCCGCTCGTCATCCTCTGCGATTCTTCTCCCGCTGCGCCCATGGCAATGCGAATTTCAGGAGATGGCGAGGAGGGAGGGCGCGCTGCACGTCCGCATACCAGCTCCGGGATTCTTCCAACGCGGCGTCGTCGGCTGGATCTTGTGTCTCCTCACGCCTCTTTGTGTGAGCACCTTCTTCAAGCCTCACCCATCGGACCGCCCTTATCCCGCGTCCTTTGGTGCCGGTGCAAGCGCATTTCGGTGACGCCCTCTACTCCCCCAAAGGAGATGCTTGCTTCCCACTCGTTCGACCTTTCGCGTCTCAACCTCCGTCACCTTCCCCCTCCTTAACCCCCACGGCCTTCCCCCCTTCCCCCCAACGAACCGCGCGTGGCAGTTGGTACTGGCAGTGGCGGCGTCATTCTTCTTCATCGGCACATTCTGGCTCCTCCTCGGCATCGCCATGTGAGCGCGCCCGTCCCGCATCACCATCACAATGATACCACCCTTCCGCCCGCTGATTGCACCTCAAATTCGATCCCACTTGCATCAGCGTTTCGCTTTTCATTCATTCCATTCGATGCTTGCATTTGTTGTCAATGCCTCTTGTATCTGCTTCCCACTCACCTCAAAAGCTGCACCCCCCACTCGTTCCAACCCTCTCAGATCGACCATCTCATGGGTAGGCGTCGCGACGCGCAGGGAGACCATCACGCTCGCCCCCGACGCCTTCTCCATCGTGCACACGCGCTACGGCGTGTCCAAGAAACGCCAAGGCAGCACAGCCACCATCCACTCCATCTTGGTCGTCGATCGCAACGCTCCGCGCCTGCTTCCCCCCCCACGCTCCACAACGGCTCCCGGCATTCCCGTCCCGGGTTCTACTCCCCCCAATGCAGCCGCTCCTGCTGCCGCCGCCAGCGGAGGCGCTCCCACTGCCCGGCGTGGTCCCGCCGCCGCCGCTGCTGCCGCCAATGCGCGCGCGCGGGAGACACCGGCAGAGCCACCGGAGCTGCTGTGTGTGATTGCGCTGCCGGACACCGTGCACAGGTTCGGCGCGAACCTGAATGAAGCGGAGAAGTACTGGGTGGTGGGGGAGCTGTCGTATTACCTGCAGAGCGTGCGCTTGCACCCGGCACAGCAGAATGTGTGATGGATGGCAGTGTAAGTAAGCTGGCGGTGCAGCAGGAATCTCGGTTAAACAAGACCTTGAGAGTCGCATAGAAGTACTGGGTGGTGGTGGGCGAGCTGTCACACCACCTGCACTCCATGCGTGTGCATGCACTCAGCGCAGCACGCCGTGTAGACCATAGCTGTATTATACTACACTTAGGATTTGGTCCGGTCACATACTATACTAGCATTCCCACAACCTGAAGCTATTTTGATCCTAAAGCTATTTTGAGCCGGCAGGCACTGAATAAAAGTCGTTCCATAAACACTTCTGTTTCCCCGGGTTTGAAGACAGTCTCTGTAGCTCATCTGCTTCACACTCCGTCCTTCAGCCCACCAGCAGGAGAGTCCTTTTCGATGGGATGCGTTTTGCGCTGCTTACAACCAACACGGTGGGAGCTCGTCTAGAGTAGCCCACACGAGAACCCTTGCAGCCCCCAGCATCTCACAAGACAACGCTGGTGCCCGCGGCCTCTGGGTAGCAAGAGACTCGCACCAACGCACTCAGGGCATCCCACCATCAGCCCAACTGTTTAGCATCTCAGAACCCTCACTGCGACGCATCAGCACAACAGTCACTTACAACCATGCACACCACCATGACACAACCACCACTGGCATATTGTGAGTGCACATGCGCACACACCTCCATGGACTGCACTCTGTCATCTAGATAGCTTGGGGATGTTGTCGTGGCCAACCACATCTGAATGAGCAGTGACTCAAACTCCACAATGACGCTCCAATCAACCGGGGGGATTCGGGCCCAAGGTTCAGATCCACCCTTGCACGGGCTCGGATGGGCTCATGGGCCTGCCTTTCCCGGTTGAAAGCTCAAAGTGACCGGGGGGAAATGTAGACCAGGTCTGGGGCAAGCTTTCTACGGGTTCCTATGCATCCCAAGGGTCCTTTTGACCGGCTGGAATGAGACACACGATAATGTGTGTGCGTATTTTGGTGTCTGCATGCTTGGTTGGTTGAAGGACCAGGTTTGTGTTTTGTTGTGAAACAACACTTCGGATTCGTGTAGTGGTAGTTATTTATCGTTAATTTATTCTCAACATACGCCCAGCGAGGTCCATTCCAATCCAAATTCTATTTCCGGAAATGTCTTGGCGAGTCAGGTCGCTCTAGTCAACGCTGGAGGGAATGATGCCATGCCAACCACCTCGTGATCGTTGCGTTTTCAGCGAGAACGCGGGAGTGGCGAAAAAGGCATCCCGCTCTGCCCCACCCCTGCCTTCCCTCCTTTCTCCCGCTCAGGACGCGGTAAAAGTGCTCGATCGGGGGAAGATCGATCCGGTCACCGCACTGAAACCCCATGTTTTGCATACGAAAGGTACAAAACCGTTTATAACCGCGCAAAAAAACGATCCTGAGGCGATCTATTCTCCACTTCTACCGCATCCTCACCAACCAACGACGGTGACACTGCTGCGGATGCACAAATACCACCAGCGCGGCCACAAATCCCCATTTTCCAGCACCTCGCCGTCATTTCACAGCTACTAACATTACGTTTTATAAGCGACACCGTCGAAGTTCCCCCTCCACAAGAGGCGTTGCGACCGCGCCGACCAGGCCGCTAGTAGGACGAATATTGTCACAATAATGGCAGCTAACCCGGGGAGCACGGCGCAAGGGAAGCCGCAAGAGGCGGCGGTTTCAGCCCTTGAGCCAGCCGAACCGGAGCCTGCGACTCCGAGAAGCGCCGCTGATGCCCCATCTGCCGTCCGCGCAGCTGCTTTCCTTCCGCAGCCTGTTCCGCCTCTCCTCCAATACGTTCCGCCTCTCCCGCAATACGTCCCTCCTCTCCCCCAATATGCTCCGCCTCTACCCCAAGACGCTCCGCCTCTCCCCCAATACGTTCCGCCTCACCCCCAAGTTGTTCCGCTGCTCGCCGTGATGGGCACTCCCGTGCCGTCGTCGTGGCCTGCTCGTTGCGCCAAACCCTATAAAAGCCGCGTGGTGCGCGCTTTTAGCAGTGTAGTAATGGGGGACCCATGATGTTGCTAGTAGCGCGACGTTAGGGTGTGGGATTCGTTGGGGGAATCTTCGGTATTTCCCCCTCCCCGCTGCATTGCCCGTGCCGCCTGTCAGGTTTCACATTGCGGTACCCTTCGGTTCAGACTTTGAACAACTCCTATGCAAGGATGTCTGCTTGTTATCATCAACGCGCCTTGCCCACGTGTTGGTGGCGTGGCTTTGATGTCAAGTAACTGACGTCTGACGTGGCACGACACTGGCCCCCCTACCTGGTCCCGAGGCTCGCAGGTGATATCATGGGTGGAGGGCGGAGCACTGGAGGTGCGAATACCCGGGGAAGGTGGATGCACCTTCTGGTTCCTCACTCTCCTTCTGGTGAGCCCATCCCCTCACGCTCCTTATCGTGAGCCCATGCCTTCACTCCTTCCAGTGAGCCCAGGCCCTCACTCCTTCAGTGAACCCATTCCCTCACCCGCTTCTTAGTTAGCTAATTCCCTCACTTTCTTTCTAGAAAGAAGCTCTGCTCACTCCCGTCGTACCAAATAGATCTGCTTGTCAGTCGCTGCCCTCCCATGCAAGTCCCTCCCCTCGCAATTCTTTTCAGCCGAGCTCCCCCCTTCCCACCTGCTCGCTCCTCTTCCCCACCCGTCCATCGCCCCACTTCCCTGCCTGCCCTCTCAACTCTCCCCCCCCGCCCTCACAGATTGTGTTCGCAATACCAGTCATGATCGCTTTACCCATCGCAATCTGCATCGTCCCCTGGTGGGTACCTCAAGCTCTGAATCCCCTGGTGGGTACCTCAAGCTCTGAGCCCCTTTCAGACTGCCTCTGGCAGCGCTGTAGGGGTAGCAGGTCACATTGGCATATGATGCCACATGCAGAGCCACTTGGCATGCAAGCCCGTCACTACATAGTAGTTCAAACGTCCAATTTTCCAAATCTCAGCTCCCAGCATTTCACATCCCACACCCACTCCCTCCTCCCTCTGCCGCCCACCTTCCATGCCCGTGCTGCTCGCGGCCCACCCGTCTCAGCGTCATCGGTGCTCGCTTCCGAGCCGCAGCTCGCTCCGAATCCATTCTGCTGTCGCCACACCTCTTCAGCATCACCATCAAGCTCCCAGACAAGTCCACGGAGCAGCGCGGCAGCACGGCAAGGCTGCAAGCCATTGTGGTCCAGGACTTGAATTCGCCACAGCCGCTGCCGTCCCCGCCAGTGCACGGGGCAGGGTATCGAGCAGTGGCTAAGGAGCTAAATCTGGTGTGTGTGTTTGTGGAGCAGCAGCAGGATTACAGATTTGGCACGACTCTGAGTGATGCGGAGAAGTACTGGGTGGTGGGGGAGCTGTCGCACCACCTGCACTCCATGCGCTTGCACCTGGCACAGGAGCATGTATGACATGAAGGGTGGCAGTGTAAGCTGGCGGTGCAGCAGCAACACCGGTTTGGCACGGCCCTAAGTGACACAGAGAAGCACTGGGTGGGTGGCAGGCAAGCCAGCTGTTGTACCACCTGCATGCACTCCATGCACGTCCACCCGGCACAGCACACCGTGTACACTGTGGCTGGGAATACTTTGTATATAAGTCACTGTTCTGTCGCCTGTTTCAGATTACAGGCTCCCATAGGTTTCCCATAGCCATACTGTGGCACATATGGGCTGGCCATCGCCCACATTTCTGTTACCTAAAGTCTTGTATAGAAGTCAAGGACTAGAAGTCCTGTAGCCACAATGCAGAAACAGGTGAGGTGGCCAGGGCCACAGTGAATCAACCATGCCATCAGTGATAGCTGCCTTCGTTGACGACCCATCAAGCCTGTCACTGGCCTTTCTTCTTCCTCACCCCCCTCTTCCCTCTTCCCCATCCGAATGCTCCCACGCTTCCCAACTGAACGCACAGGAAGCCAGCAGGGTTAAGGGCCGTGGGACGCCCTGCAACTTTTCTGCCCCACCAACCCCAGCCCTTTCCCGTGACCCTAGTTTGTCCATCTCATTGCACTCAGCACAGTTCCTGCTTTCCAAAAAATAAAAGCTTTACAATTGCAGCAAGATCTGTACAACACTGGCTGAGCAGCAGCCTAGGAGGAGCAGCGTTTTCATGGCCGATTTCCTTACAGAAGCGTGTACAAGGAGACGTGCAGTCTCACACGGGGTGAAATGAGACTTTCGTGAGACACTCCCCCGCTCTCACACCACCCGGAAGACTGCACATCTCCGATTCTGCGTCAAGCAAGCAAAGAGCACATGTGACAAGCACACGCCACGCCCGTGTGTCCCTCAACCGCACATGCTGCCTTGACAACGAAATCCACTGGTGGAACATGGCAGACAGTGAACCCACATGGTAGGCAGTGAGCCCACGTGGCAAGACAGTGAAATCCACATGGCAGGTAGTGATCCACGTGGCAGGTAGTGAGCCCATGTGACAGGCAGGCAGGCAGTGAGACCACGACGGCACGCACCTCTGGGAACTGGGGGTTGTCGTCGCGGGTGGTGAGCTTGGCGATGTTGTTGCGGCCCAGCCCCATCTTGATGAGCAGCGACTCAAACTCCACTATGAAGCACGTGCCTGAGTACTGCTGCTGCCCACGCACAGCAGAGGACAAGTGAGGCCGTGGTTCAAACACAAGTGACGCAGAGGACAAGAGACGCGGCGGTTCACACAGCTTCATCAGCAGATTGCCATATACCATGGGAACCACATCGGTGCCAGGTATTCTTGCAGAAGGAGGATGGAACAACGGCGGACATGACTGGCACAAGAACTAGAAGAAATGGAGACAACTGTGCTCATCTCAAGGACGCATGGTGCAGGCGAGAACACAATTTTGGGGGCAATCTTAGCAACGGGCTGGGAAGCAATCAGGTGGTGGCATACCCTCTTGGGGGACGCGCCTCGCACGACGAGCTTCATGCCGGCACTGTTGACCAGGTCAAACGGCGGACACGAGTGGCCGCGCTCCCCCTGGTGCCATGGGATGGGGTAGTAGCATGGTGCAACCAGGGGTGTTAAGGCGATTGCGATGTTTATTGCTACAGGGAAATGGACAAGGAAACGCAGAGCTAGGGAGTAAAGTTTTTTGGAATACAGGGAGTAAGACAGGAGGGGGAGCAAGGGGGAAGGGAGGGAAGGAGAGATGGGGGATGGAGGGAGTGGGTGGAGATAAGGAGGGCGAGAGTGAGAGAGGGGGGTGGGGGTGAGAGAGGCGAGCGCTGGTGGCGAGGAAAAAAGATGCAGAACAGGAAAACGAGAGTGAGGGAGTTGGGAGGAAGAGACATACTCGTACTGTCCTGCATTTGTGCTTGAGTGTCCCGCCTATCACGGGTGCTGTCGTCCTCGTTGACGCACTGCCAAGCACCGCCCGGAGGAGAGAGTTGCAGGCGAGATGAAATTAAAGGGAGAGTGGGTGGGGCAAACGAGAGGGGGAGCGAGTTGAGACGGAAGGGCGGCGAGAGGAGATGAGCACGCCGGCAAGCGAGAGTGGGAGCGAAGTGAGCGCTCACTTGTAGAAGAGCAGCGAGTCGGAGAAGGGCAGCGAGGGGCGCATGGTGAGCAGCAGGTAGAATGGCACGAGCGCCAGCGAGCCGTTGAACGCGAAGTCGCACTCCTGCCATGGCGGCACGGGGGCATGATGGTATGGGGACGTGGGGGCATGGGCACATGGTGAGCAGCAGGTAGAATGGCACGAGGGCTAGCGAGCCGTTGAACGCGAAGTCCCACTCCTGCCATGGCGGCATGGTGGCATGGTGGTATGGGGCATGGTGGCATGGGGGTATGATGGTGGCACAGCGGCATGGGGCCATGTGGGCATGATGTCATGATGGCATGGCAGCATGGTGCGCACGTGTGATGGACAGAGCGATGGACGGAGAACGAGGAGGTTGGTTTGAGAGCATGCACGGAGAATGGGGATATAACCATATTACTCGCGATATCCATGCCTTAAAGACCTTAAAGCCCACCCCCTTTCCACGCTCCTACTCAATAACCCCCCATCCACCCCCCCCTTCTTTCCCCCCACAATCCCCTTCCCGTCTCTCTCTCCTGGCCCGAGCGCACATGCGGACTGCAAGCCCGCTTCACCTGCTCGACGCGCTGCCTACTAGTCTCCTGCACGCTGCCCTACGGTCGCTCCAGTTTCCGCGGCTGAGTCGAGCCGACCGCCCTCCAACACGCCATTGCCTCGCGCTCTTCCCGTCTCGCACCCTCACTCTCGTCGCAGCAACCGCTTCACGACCCCCCACACCCTTACCACCTGAAGCCTCACCGCCCCACACCCCCACCGCCTCACGCCCCCACCGCGTCACGACCCACCGAACCCATTGCTACCTGATTCGGCAAAACGCAGTCCAGCACTCCAGGCGCCTTCGCCTTTTTCCCCTTCACAGCTGCATTCACTGCTTTGGCTTTCACCACAGCCCTCGCCGTTTTGCGCTTCGCCGCAACCTTCGCTCTCTCGCGCTTCGCGGCGGCCCTCGCCGCTTTGCGCTTCGCCACGGCTTCCGCTTTCTTGCGCTTCTCCGCAGCCTTGGCCTTCTTAATCTCCGCCGCCTCCAGCGCCTGAAGCGCCCTCGCTTGGATAGCTTGCCGTTCGAGGCTCCGTCCGCCAGGCGTCTGACATGATTGTTCATTCCTATCGCTTTCTCCTGGAGCCGGCGCGGGCGACCATGCGAGGATGCTGCCGGCAGTTGCGGGGAGAATGGCGGCGTTGAGGCCTCTAGGCCGCGTAGACTCACAAGCGGAACAACGCGGTGGTAGTCTGGCGCCATTCGTGCGCGGCGAGGCGAGGAGGAGAAGGACGACAGACGTGATGAGAAGACATTGCAAGATACCGCATCGTGGGACCGCACGCGGCTGATGCCTTCTCTCGCGATTGGTCCTGCTCTTAAACGGCTCTTTGCAAACGAATTCTGTCAATCGAACGGGCAAATTTCGTGGATTTTTGTAAAAATTGTGCCATCTAGTGCTGCCGATAGTGCAAAGCGCATGACCTGTTTCTAGTCTTCTCCGTCTCGATATTGATTGGCCCGACATTATGCTTCAAGGGGAGTCTGGATGAAGAGGAGAAAACGTTAACTAAAGTGAGGACCCGAAAACAGACAGAATTAGGACGTTAACCTGATTCAGACAAGGTAAACTCAGAGCTCGAACATGCAGATTCTGTGCTATAGTTGGCTTCCTAATCGTCCCTCTCGCGGCCGTTCTAGCCTAGAGTGTGGACACGATAGTCGGTGCTTTATTCCTGTGTGCTGGCAGGGGGAGGTGGAAATCACTGATAACATGGCATCGCAGTCGCGGAGCGAGAGACGGTCTCCTTGGGTGTGCAATCAAGTGCTGCTGAAAGCCGCTGCAATCCATGCCCCTCGAGATGATCGCATGAACCATTGGGATCATCGAGATAAACATCCTCGCTGGAAAACAGCGGTGGCGGTAAGCCATCGGAATCTGCAAGTTCGGTCCTCGAGATGATCGTCGCGGCCAGCCCGGGCCGCGCACCTGCAATTGTCCCAGGGGAGGGGAGCCATGCAGGTGCACGCCAAGGGCAGCAACGGAAGCCCTGGCAGACGGGCGCGAATGCTACTGACCTGGCAACATTGGATTTCCCGCCATTTCGTTTGTGCCTGAGAACCGACCACATGGAAATGCTTGGCACATAGAATGCCCCGCTTTGTGTCCGGAACTGTACTCTGTTTTTGCAATATCTGTTGCCAGCTTGACATTGAATATGAGCCTGATTTAGGGCACATGTAAGGAGAGCTGAAGGCAACAAAGGAGGATAAGGGAAGAAGGAAAACAATGCCCACATTTGCTTGTAAAATCAACACACCACTATATGATTGTTGAATATTAATGCAAGACTTTCACAGGACAGCACCAAAACAGCTGAAGGAACATACAGCAACGCTTCACACTCCATGGGCAGTCTCAGTACCCGCCGCCATAACCACGTGCCCCCTGCTGCCCTCTCCTGTCCAGAGCCCTAGCAGCAGACCCGGGCACTGCTGCTCCCCCATATGGTGCTGCCCCTGCCCCTCCCGCCCCCCCGTATGCCCCACCTGCCCCCCCCGCTCCCCCCCCATATGCCCCTGCTGCCCCCCCTGCCACTCCTCCATACATCCCTGCTCCTGCTCCTCCAGCACCTCCTCCTGCTGCTGCTCCATACGTCCCTCTCCCTCCCCCTGCTCCTCCCCCATACCCGGCCCCTTCATACGACCCTCTCAGCCCAGCTGTCCTTGGCGTCCCCCCAACCCCTTGCCCCACCCCACCAGCACCAGCAGCACCAGCCGCTGCTCCTGGCCTGTACCCCTCCCCAACAGCAACCGCAGCAGCAGCAGAAGACACAGCACCAGCAGCTCTAGCCCTGGCAGCAAGGCTAGCAGTAGTATCAGGCACGGGGAGAATGGCGGAGTAGGCGCGGGTGGCACTGGAGCCGGAGGAGGAGGAGATGGTGGACTGCGCGCCGTGGATGGTGGAGGCATTGTCGTACGCGCCCGAGGGGGAGGCGTGGAGGGAGTCGTCGGGCAGGCGCAGGCCGAAGCAGAAGACGTTCACGCGCGTGCGGCGCAGCTCCCCCGGCAGCAGGTCCGCTGACAGGCTGTCCGCTATGCCCTGGTTGGGGCACAGCAAATTAAGAACGGAGCGCAAAGCTTGAGCTGAACAATCACAATCCACTGACATCTTCATTTGGCAACAATAGAACATACAGGTTTCAAAGTCCTACAAATATAAAAAGGAACTTGCCTTGAGCTGCTCGGGCGTCTGCGGCGTGGGGATGTCCCTCTCCTCGCCCCACTCCCCCGACCGCATCCCGCCGCCCCGCGACAGCTGGCGCTCGTAGCTGGGGCGGTCGTCGGGCGGCGGGCCGGCGGCAGCGATGGATTGCATGGTGCGGTGCAGCAGCATGTCCCTGAGCTGGAATATGATGTCGTCCAGTGAGGGCGAGGCGAACGGCTGTAGCACTGCTTGGAAATAGTCCAGCTGAAAGGGGGGGACAGGAGTGAATCAGGGGAGGGGATGGAAGAGGGAAGATGGAAAAGGATGCATTGGGGATTGGTGGGGTGAATGACGGTGGCGGTGGGTGCGAGCAGATGCGCAGGGAAGAGAGGAGCGCGAAAGAGGAGCGGCGGGGCAAGAGCACGGCAGACAGCAGCAGAGGTGGACCTCGAGGGAGAGGTGGCACGAGGCGGGCCTACTTCCACTGACAGAGGGCGTAACCCCCCTCAACTGACAGAGGGTGCAGCACGGACCTCAAGGGAGAGCTGGCAGAAGGCGTTGGCGTCGAGCTGCTCGAGATCAGCATGCTGGAAGGCCACCTGATGCAGCGCGTCCATTAGGCCCTCTGCCAGTGTGTTGATTGCACGGTCCACGAATGGGCTGCACCCCGCTGATACCTGCTCGCACACGCACACGCACACAGGTGTGAGGGGTGATGGAGCGGGTGGAGAGGAAAGAGATGATGAAAGGGCGTCCTTGAGGCTGTGGACAAGAGTGTTGGTGGCACGGTGCGGTCCACAACCGGGCCGCAGCTTGCTCACTCATGCTCCACTACTTGTGTGGGGCTGCTTGGGTAGTACTAGTAGAGAGCGTTTTGTGGAAGGCAGAAGTTAGTCATGCATGTGAAATTCGCAGGAAGGAGAGGGTGGGGGTTGAGGCAGGAAAAGGGTGAAGCGCGAGGGGCATGGCGTGTGGTGTGGAGTGGTGGGAGAGAGGAGGAGGTAGCAAGGCATTGATGGGTGGCAGCACAGGGTGATGGGAAGATGGGCTCACCTCAGCATGAACGGCGACGAGGGGCAGGATGAGATCCAGAGCCGAGTCCCGCAGACCCTGCATGCATGGCATGTTCACAAGGCGCCAACAGTGGAATGGACCAAGAGATGGATGGCATGATGGCATGAGGTTCTGCTCCCATGAGCTGTACCCCTCATACACGCACATGCATGCATGCCCACCCATGCCACGGTGTGCCAGAGCTCACATGCCACGTCCATGAGCAACAGAGCCCGGTTGGTTTCACGGATGCAGTACAGCAGTACAGCAGCGAGCACATGCACATGCAGAAGCAACCCGCAACTGCTGCTGCAGCACACGCCAAAAGAAGTACCAAGGCTTGAGAACCCAGTGTTCAACACACAAGCCTCAATCACTTGAAGCCTGGAGATCCCTCAAAACTGGCCCAATTTGACAGGGCGAGCAGCAGCGCACCTTGACAGGAGGCGCAGCAGCCCAGGAGGTGCCATCCTCAAGGAAGTAGCGAATAACAGCCATGCCCAGGTGCTGCGCCTTGGCGGCAATGTACTGGTCGCCCTCCTTGATGGGGAGAAATAGCAGCTCACCTTGATGGGGGGGAAGCAGCAGCCCACTCACCTTGACAGGAGGAGCAGCAGCCCAGGAGGTGCCATCCTCAAGAAAGTAGCGAATCACAGCCATGCCCAGGTGCTGCGCCTTGGCTGCGATGTACTGGTCGCCCACGCCTGTCTCGGCCTCCACAAACACGCGCTCCACGTCTGCCAGCAGCTGCTCCACCTCGCTCAGGGCCGGGGGGGTGTAGCCTGGACGGGTGGCTGTTGGCGCTGATGCACTGACAGGAAAAGGAAAAGGGAGAGTGCGGGGTGTG